TGTTGACATGTTTAATGTTATGTATTTTCTTCTATTTGATCTCAAAAAGCTCCTAAAACAGTCAGTGATCACTGTTGACCTCCCTCGGCTTTTATTACCACTAATCATTTATTTAAGCTCAGTTTTTAAAACCTTAGGATGTAACTACAGCCCAGCCCATGCAGCAGTATATGAATGACTAACCTCGTATTGTGGATGGATTATCTCAGTTGTTCTCCTGGCTGAAGTTTGGTCCTTTTACAGCATCCTGCCATGCGATTACATTTGTTCCTGACCACCGAGAACACTCACGTTAACTTTTATCGAGTGGAAAAAAGTTAGCTTGTTTATATTATGCTAACATAGCTGTGTCGCTAGCGGTCACGTAGCACATCATTATATACCAGCTAGCCCAACTTCAGTAACCCTACAAACGTCACTGCTGTTTAGTTTTCTGTCTTCATTTATGTTGGAAGTGATAACAGAGCTGTACGTTTTAATTTGTTTCCAAAACCCCGCAGTCAGGACATGCTATATTGTATTTAGATAGAAGCTAGCGAGCTAACTCCCTGCTAACTTCTAACTCCGTTAAATGTCATAAATTCCGTTTTCATGGATGCCTGGATGTTAAACTCAATTGTTACACCTGGTAGAGCAGAACGCTGATCATTTTATTAAAGATGAAAGACTTTAGACAGTTTTTCAACTCTCAGTAATGCCACAGTGATCGTTTGATATATGGACCTGCAGCGGAGTTTAGACCCAGACACGGCTAGTGACGTCAGACTGAACAATCGGATAGGTTTCCTGATGATAAGGCTCAGTGTACAAGTTGGATGTTTTCCCTGTTTTTATATTTCTTTTAGTGTAAAGCCTGAAACAGTGAGGCTAACTGTCTATTGGAGAACAAGGAGGATAAGTGTTTACATAAAATTGTTGCTGTGAGCGCGTTATGCTGCTGAAAGAGGCCACAGCTATCAGAGAATACTGTTTCCATTAAAGGGTGTACATGGTTTGCAACAATGCTTAGCTTGGTGGTACATTGTAATAATAATAATGGATTGCATTTATATAGCGTTTTTACAATTCCACTATTCATTCACTCTCACACACTGATGCAGGTAGCTACAGTTGTAGCCACAGCTGCCCTGGGGCAGACTGACAGAGGCGAGGCTGCCATATCGCGCCATCGGCCCCTCTGGCCATCACCAGTAGGCGGTAGGTGAAGTGTCTTGCCCAAGGACACAACGACCGAGACTGTCTGAGCCGGGGCTCAAACCAGCAACCTTCCGATTACAAGACGAACACCCAACTCTTGAGCCACGATCGCAAAGTAATATCCACCTGGATGTTGCTGTTAGTGTCCCAGGTGAACATAGGTGAAAGCTGCATCTTTGGAGATGCTCTGAGTCATCTAGCTGTCACAGTTAGGCCCTTGCAAAACTCATTCAGATCCTTGGGCTTTTTTTTGTGCTTGAAGCAATTGTTGAGCTGTGATGTTGCTTTCTGTTTGACAGCTTTGCCAGTGATCTCAGTAGGTCTAAAGATCACCTTTGGAGGAAGTTTGTATGATGTAAAAAATATGAAATCTATATTAAAAAGGTTGAGTTCCACTTAATTTATGGAATCCACTGGAACATCTTTTTTCAAAATTACATGTATGTTGTAAAAGTTTAGTGCATCAATGAAGAACAAGTTTGGCCCACTGCTGGAGCTTAAATGCTGAAGCAGCTTACATGAAACTTGTGAAAAGACTTAGGGGACTTGTCTCAGTCGGTGTGCCATGTTCTGCGTTTTTTTTGTATTACTGTTCTTGGTATGGCCATTGGCACCAATAGAAGACTAAAGTGATGTATGAAAAGGTAGAAACATTAGATGCCCATACAGCTTCACTGCTTGGATCCTAATTAGGCCATAATACTATACTGCTGATTGGCTCAAACACCCTACACACAACTTGCATAACATATTCGACAGAGAATACAAGGGTTGATGCAGTAATCCTGCTGACATGATAAGCTGTTTGATCTATTTTCAGCAACCCCTGCTTTCCACACACCCACAGACATGCTATGTTATAGGATACCACAGAGAATAAGGCATGCATGCTAAATGCACTAGAGCCATAATCTATGAAGTAACTGTTGTGAGCGAGTGCAGTTCTTATGATAGAAGGGGAAAAAAATCACAAAAGAATTCAAGCAATATGAAACTATTGCCGCATTTTAAACAAGCAAAGGGTAGCACATAAGGACCTGCAATCATCAACAGCATGAAGCAGTGGAAAAATGAACAGGCGTGATTTTTCCTTACAGCTGAAGGTTTCTCTTGACAAGAGGTTGTTTTCATTGTCTATTTATATTATGTATTCTTCTGGGAAGCAGCAAGGCTTCTTCATATACGCGAAAGAAAAAGAGCCTCAAATCCAAGCTTCTATTTAAGCAAACTTAAATTGTCAAATGATCATGCACCATCATGAAACATCAGAAGGAATCAGTCTCACAGCTAAATCACTGCAATTGATTTTACCTCCCCACATTCATCACAAGTATCAATACTCATGCCTGTCCTCTTGTGGTCATGACTTTGGTGTATTTTTCTTTATCTCTGGAAGAGCAGTGAAGCTTTAGCAGAGTGCTAATGAGCCTCTTGTCACCTGAATAACACGGACAGGTGATTAAAGGGAAGTAGGCAGAGGCAGGTGAGGAATACAAATGAGTTATTTCTCCTCAACAACAGTGTACTGCCCTCTTGGTGATGTTGCACGAAAAAGGCTTTACTGCAGAGTACAGTTGCCCTGCAGCACACTTCTTTCCCCTTATTCACAGACAGAAAGGCAGCAGTTCAGTCAGACTGGCTGCATTATCCATCCCTCCTCATTTGCTCACCTCTTTCCAGTGTCTGCACTCTCACACCCAAAGGGGAGTAGGAAAGGTGTCAGCACACTAGCAGAGTTGAGACTGCACCATCAATAGCAAAAAAAATGGGGGGGAGAGCAAAGAGACAAAATTGAATCGTAAGTCCCGACGAGGCTGAGCTACACAGAAACACCCCCGGAGACGTGGATCACATTTTACCCGCTGGTGCTCGTCAGCATGTTTAATTTGTGACCTGGCAACTTGGTTCTCCTGAGGGTGGAGGAAAGGAAAGGGCTGGTGCTCCACTCACAATACTATCTATTATATAAACATCACCTTCATTCACAATTATCATTCAAGCTGAACAAAACCATTACACCTAATTGAGCAGTGAAGTGGGTAAGCGGGTTATCCATCACTTGCTCAATCCTATATTCACATTCAGAATAAAATCTATATTTGATGGGGCGCTCTTTGTAATTTAGTACAAGAGCACTGAGATGAAATTGCAGTCGGTCTCCGCTTCAGTGTGTCTCAATTTTCTGGGTGTTTAGCAGTTCATCTCCACAGAACTAAACCCTTACAAATGATCTTAAAAGGCTCAGTAAATCACAGTCCAATCAAGTGGCTCATTACCCCTCTGTTCTGTGCTCTAACTTAACAACATGTGAAATATTAAGGCCGTATCCATCGGTCTCGCCGCAGCTTGTCCCTCACCTACTGTCTGTGCTGTACATAAAAATAACCCGGCACAGGGTTGAGATGTTTGAGATCAGAGCTGTAGTGATGGCGAGTCATGTTCATGCCCATAACATAAATTTCTCCTTTGCCACTATTTGTCACATATGAAATGTGATTTTCATCTAGTTATTTAAAGCCATCACTGAGAATTATAGCTTGTTGTTATTCATGAAGCTTTAGGTGATTAATGCTGCACTAGAATTGCGGCTACGACAGGATGTGGGAGGACACTGTGTCTTCTGTTGCATAATTTAAAGGTGTGATAAACTCTATATTTACGAGTCGAGTCACACACCAGAAGCAATGAACCACAAGCAGGAAAATCAGTCCTGCAATAAGTTTTTATTTGTTAAGTGGAGGGATGTTATACTATACTTTAGCAGGTCATTCACTGCCGTGGTGCAGAATGCCAGTAGGTACTCGAGAGGAGGAGGAGGAGGCTGGAAAAAAAGAGAAAAGAAATGAAAATGCTCACAGGGTGAGTAACCATCATATGATCAGTTGTTGCTATGGCAACTGATCCCAGCAGCCAGCCCTTGGAAAGTGAGTCACATGAGTGAATTGAAGGAGACAGGAAGCATACTGTGCATACATGTTGCCAGTTAGATGCGGTATACTTGTGAGTGAGAGAGGGAGGAGAGGGAAGTGTGTGTTTTGTGTGAGTCTTGTGATGGAAGCAGAGATTATCCCGAGGTTAGCACGTACAGAAGGGTTAGACTGTCCTCCACATTTATTCCTTTTAAGGTTTCTAATCATAGGGTGGACTATGGTGCAAAGTAGCAGCTGAGAATAAACACCTGAACTGTGAAGACCCAACATATATCTGGCTCTATGGGCATATTTTGGGTTTGTGATAGTTAATAAACTGCGACTGTATCCTTGTTTAACTCACAACTCCCAGGCACAGGCAGACGATGTTACCAAGAGCATCTACCCAACCATGTTGTCATCATCCAGCAAACTGCTGGAATGAAAACTAGAAGGTTGTGCAGCAGACCTGTCTACTGTATATGTGGTGGTGGGGGGCGAGCCACCCAGTGAGGCAGGAGAGCCACACGCAGAATAAATTACTAGTGTCAGAGAGAAAAATGACTCTGCCATCGTCTCACACCTATTTTAATTGTGGGTACACATCGACACGCCTGTTAGGTAAGGACCAAAGACAACTGAGCAGTGAACTGTGAACTTTAAAGAGTGTGGGGAAAAATCTGGCCGTATGCATTACTAATAATAATAATAATAATAATAATAATAATAATAATAATAATAATAATACGAAGACGAAGGCAATTTGCACATTAGCATATTCAGTCAGTTCCTTTGATCCATCTGATTAAAGGCTACCTGTGTGACGCCCCTATTATCTTAACATCCTGGGACCACTGCAGATGTTCGGATCAACCGCTGACGTGCGCACGAGCGGATGAGTCAAACCTGCGTCAGACACCGTCGTGACTTACCATAGTAATTTCTCCATCCTATTGGGGGGTGATTTATTCCACAACACAGCCATAACCACGTGGAAACCAGAAGCGTGAGCGGGTGTGTTTTTCAGATCTAGAGAACATTACATAGAGAGACAAACGGTTGCAATAAATTGTTACCTGCTCAAGTTAATGTGATTATAGGAGCGCAAACTTGTGGCAGGCGCCGAGCTTCTGCGTCAGACTTTACGCACCATGCGCCCTATGTGACTGGAAGCTGTGATTTTGCATCTCTTTACGCGCAGAGATGGTGCATACGGAGACCGTGCCTGAATGAAGCTAGTTTATCGTACGTTGGATGTATGTTATCACAGTGAGTCGTTCTAACCGATTCTACACACAGCAAAAGGTAAGAAACGCAGTCCGGTAACAATTTTTGTGTTATTTATTAATGCATTCGTGGTGTAGCTCTGAGACGAGTAAATTGTTTTGTATTGTCGCGATGCACTTGCACAGTTGCAAAAACATCCTACTTGAAGTCATTTAACAGAGAAGAGCGACAGCTTTCAACACATCACCTGACAAATGGTGGCTTCGCCGCGCCATTCACGGTGTGCGTCGTTTATTAATCCCCTGCTTGACGCTGTCGCGCCATGTGTGTCCAAATTTGACTCAAATATAACAAATTCTGCGGGGAGGCGGATCATCTGCTGACTTACATCGGTGCCTTTTGCAATTCCGCATTTTTATTATAAGGTGGTTGGTTTGACCTTGACAAGGTATCAGAGGTTATACACACGTATAGAGTTACTTCTCGTGCTTATGACCACGGGCCTGTGTAAAACGTGCCTGAAGGATGCTTGAACATGGCCACACAGGTGATGTTCTGATCCCACCTTCTGCCTCTTTGTTGTTCAGGAGCGAATCAGTTTCGTGGTCCCTGCATGGCATCGTGCCATCTAACCAAATGCAACAGTGACACCATCTTCTATCCAGAAATGAGTCAAATCTAAGATCTGCAAGTGAGATAGTTTGTGATTGCTGCCTGATTGACAGTGCAACAGATCCCACAACAAACTGTCACCTTCAGTATTCCCACTCTCTCCTTCCCACTGTTCTGTCACAGTAGCTCTGTGTTATTTGCAGCCGTCCTTCAGGGCATATTATGTCTGTCCATTTGAGATGGTGAGAGGAGAGACAGGCGACCACTGATGCTGCAGGGATGGGATTTCAATTTTGCAGGAAGAGCCATTGCTTAGCAACCACACTTGATAAAAGTGGAGCATATCTTTGTAGAGAACCTGCGCTGTTACATCATCAACACAAAACTGTCTGAGGAGAGTTGGGAATACAGTTCCAGGAAGAAGAAGCAGGAACAAGCATCTGCCTCTGAGGAGGCAGCCACACACACGAGCCACAGGGGTCTATTGCCATCACTCCTTTGGAAAGCAAACGCTTTAAAGTCTGCAGCACATTATCCTTTGCATGAATGTTCTGTTTTCAAAGTATTCTGAAAGAAAGAAAAACACTTCTTGTCACTTTGTTTCCCTCAGATGGTGATTGACAACTGAGTCATAATCTGTAACAGTGTCTTGCACTGTATGTGAAGTCCTGCTGTCTCTGTAATGCACCATCTGTGTCAGCACATACTGTGAAACCCAGAAAATTGCTGTGTACTGCTACAACAACATCGAAAACTTTCACCACACGCTATTAGTGGGTCACAGTGGCAATCCTATCTGCCATTTGTGTCTAACAGACCACCATCATCCCAACCCATAAGCAGAAATTAGGCCAGTTTGTTACTAACTATACCAATATTTCCATTCGTTTGGAAAATAGGGCAAAAACATCATGTGGACATTCTTGCAGGGCTCCAGGTTGCAAGTGCCAAAACTGCAGCTGAGTCAAAAAATAATTTTGTTTTGCAAACATGCACACTGTTGTTTCACACCTCATTCAGAGAGTGTGTGATGATGAGTCAGTATTGTGCAGTTGTAGACCGCTGTGGGAAAGGTCACCGCTGTTCTGGGATCTGTTTCGAGCACTCAGCTTCCGAGCTGCTGCGTGTCGTGACTGCAGTTGAGGAATTTGATGTGCGTGCTACTGGTTCAGACTTTGGATGGGCTTAAGAGTCTGGCCGGCTGGCAACTATTCTTTGAGAAGTCGCTGTGAGTACAGGACCGGCTCTGATTTCAGTCGAGTGCATCTGTTTTTTAAGATTAGAAGTTGTCTTCAGATCAAACACCTCTGGCTTCTATTCTCTGTTCTTGAACTGCCAGAGTGAAAAGTCAGCTCAAACTCATCCCACACAGCGAAACAACAGCAAAAGAGGGGGTAGGAGACAGGGCGGGTTGAGGGGGTCTGCCTTCAAGGTCTGTTTTCATTCATCCACTACTCCTTTAGAAGCTCTTTTGACATTTACAGCAAAGAGTAACTTTCTCACAGTGTCTTCACGTGATTTTCACACCAGTCTTTGAAGGTCAAGCATGTCAGTTTGAGCTTTCATGCTTGCCACCACAAATTTACATTTTAATTTTAAAAGAATTAGGTTGCTGGTGTTTACTGGGTTTCCCACTGTGTTTTATTGCAGGAGTAGATCACCGACACAAAGACCACCCCTCGTCATGTGCAGTGCAGCTATTTCACTCAACACATTCGGTATAGTTTAAGGCAAATCTTGACTTATTTTACTCCCTTTTTTTAATTTTCATGATTTTCAGTCATTTTTCCGATTGAATATCTGACTAAACTGCGGTCAATTTAGGAACGGAGGTGAAGGTAAACAAATTTTTGTGGGCAAGACCAGACTAACACCGGTACCATACCACTAATACTCAGATGCTTGAATCATCGGTGACTTATTATAACATACATACAAGCTGTGTTTTTTTTGTTTGTTTTTTACTTTAGCCTCAGTTGATTACAAATGCAGCTGAGTTGCTTGAGCTGAGTTTTTCATTGTCAAAAAAGCTCGGGACATAATTACAGTAAAACAAGGGCTTGCTCTGTTACACCGTGTCTTTGTGGGGCTAACTGTGGAAAGATGACCCCACTAGATTTCAGACTAGTTCTGCTGCAAGCAAAGGTGTTGCAGGAATATGCAACAGTGGGCAAGTATTCCTGCTCTTGTTTGGTGGATGTGTCTGAAGTGTTAATGATCCTGTGCTGTGTTTCTATACTGCTTCTGCTTCCATAGAAAACCAAAACATGAAGTAAACAGGATGTTTAGTGCATAAATGTCCATCGTTGCATATGAGAGTGTAATGCTAAATTTGGGTTTGTTATTAAATTACTTAATATTTATAATAATATGACAGCTGGGATAGGCTAGGACCCTTGTATGAATGGATGGATAGGCTAATATTAGCGCAATTCCAAGAGACTCACATCTTCTGGACAAAAAGTAACGGGCCTCTGAAAAATTAACACAAGAAGTTATTACTGTGCTCGATCAGCATCAAAAATGTTAAAATAACATGTAGACAAGATTTTAAAGTTGTGCAATAAGAAGAAAAGTATACAGACACTAATAACTGATGAAATCTGCTCAGAGGCCTTAGTTTTACTGCTTTTTCTTGAAACCAGTAGTCACACAGACAGGCTTTATGCTGCTGGTCATCCTATTCACATGACCCAACTTTAGTAAAATGGGCCCTGCTGTGAAATGGATTGTGTTTCAATCTTTGTACCTCATTCACCACAATGAATTGGATTACTGAAATGCCTCATGGCTCTGAAGTGCTGCTGTTTTTAGAAACGTTTTGAGTTCTGGAAACTAGTTGAAGCAACATGCTCTATGTCATGTTCCATTAGTGTGGCTCCTGAATTGGGCTTGTGATGCTTTATAGGCCTGAAACTAGCTATTTTTTAACAGTAATTTTTCTTCTTTATATTCTTGAATTAATTGCATTTTTTAAAGAAAACCATGGTGCCACTTTTAGCTTGATTCTGGCTGCAGTTCTGTACTGTATGATTTTCCTTCTGTAAAATCTTCATTGTGCAAAATTCACAAAAAACATTGCTTTAAAAAAAAGAAGAAATAATCATGGATGAACAATTACCAGAAGGAGTTTTGTACATAAAATATCATTATATCAATCATAATGAAAGGTTATATTAAAACTTTGGGGTTTTTTTTCTCTTTGCAGACCTACTAAACCACAAAGTTCATCCCCTGGAAACTTGCCAGCCTCCATCCATTCTCTCTCCTGGCTCTCATCTTCTTGCCTCTGTCAACGCCCCGGTCTCGCAGCCATGCCAAAGAATACCAAGGTGACTCAGCGGGAGCACAGCAATGAGCCGGTCACTGAGTCAGTGGCTGACCTGCTGTCTCTGGAGCACCCCATGGACTATAAGAGCAGTCAGATGAGTATGGGTCTAAGTCCTGGCTCTACTGCGCCAGTAAAGGCCCTGCTGCCTTCTCCTGACCCAGATGCAGAGGATGGCCGACCAGCATGGAACAACAAGTTGGAGTACATCCTGGCCCAGGTGGGCTTCTCTGTAGGTCTGGGGAACGTCTGGAGGTTTCCCTACTTGTGCCAGAAAAATGGTGGAGGTAAGTGGATGAATACATGAATTTGTAACTACAGGGTGGGCCATTTATATGGATACACCGTAATAACATGGGAATGGCTGGTGATATTAAAGTCCTGTTTGTGGCACATTAGTATATGTGAGGGGGCAAACTCCTCAAGATGGGTGGTGACCATGGTGGCCATTTAGAAGTCGGCCATCTTGGATACAACTTTTGTTTTTTCAATAGGAAGAGGGCCATGTGACACATCAAACTTATTGGTAATGTCACAAGAAAAACAATGGTGTGCTTGGTTTCAACGTAACTTTATTCTTTCATGAGTTATTTACAAGTTTCTGACCACTTATAAAATGTGTTCAATGTGCTGCCCATTGTGTTGGATTGTCAATGCAACCCTCTTCTCCCACTCTTCACACACTGATAGCAACACCGCAGGAGAAATGCCAGCACAGGCATCCAGTATCCGTAGTTTCAGGTGCTGCACATCTCGTATCTTCACACCATAGACAATTGCCTTCAGATGACCCCAAAGATAAAAGTCTAAGGGGGTCAGATCGGGAGACCTTGGGGGCCATTCAACTGGCCCACGACGACCAATCCACTTTCCAGGAAACTGTTCATCTAGGAATGCTGGACCTGGCACCCATAATGTGGTGGTGCACCATCTTGCTGGAAAAACTCAGGGAACGTGCCAGCTTCAGTGCATAAAGAGGGAAACACATCATCATGTAGCAATTTCAAATATCCAGTGGCCTTGAGGTTTCCATTGATGAAGAATGGACCCACTATCGTTGTACCCCATATACCACACCAAACCATCACTTTTGTTGTTCCAACAGTCTTGGAGGGATCCATCCAATGTGGGTTAGTGTCAGACCAATAGCGGTGGTTTTGTTTGTTAACTTCACCATTCACATAAAAGTTTGCCTCATCACTGAACAAAATCTTCTGCGTGAACTGAGGGTCCTGTTCCAATTTTTGTTTTGCCCATTCTGCAAATTCTGTGCGCCGATCTGGGTCATCCTCGTTGAGATGCTGCAGCAGCTGAAGTTTGTAAGGGTGCCATTTGTGAGTAGCTAATATCCGCCGAAGGGATGTTCGACTAATGCCACTCTCCAGTGACATGCAGCGAGTGCTACGCTGTGGGCTCTTGCTGAATGAAGCTAGGACAGCCACTGATGTTTCTTCATTAGTGACAGTTTTCTTGCGTCCACATTTTGGCAAATCCAACACTGAACCAGTTTCACGAAACTTAGCAAGCAGTTTGCTAACTGTAGCATGGGAGATGGGTGGTCTCGTAGGGTGTCTTGCATTGAAATCTGCTGCAATGACCCGGTTACTGCGTTCACCAGATATCAACACAATTTCGATCCGCTCCTCACGTGTTAACCTCTTCGACATGTCAATGGCTGTGAACAAAGAGAAACTTGTAAATAACTCATGAAAGAATAAAGTTACGTTGAAACCAAGCACACCATTGTTTTTCTTGTGACATTACCAATAAGTTTGATGTGTCACATGGCCCTCTTCCTATTGAAAAAACAAAAGTTGTATCCAAGATGGCCGACTTCTAAATGGCCACCATGGTCACCACCCATCTTGAGGAGTTTGCCCCCTCACATATACTAATGTGCCACAAACAGGACTTTAATATCACCAACCATTCCCATGTTATTATGGTGTATCCATATAAATGGCCCACCCTGTAGTTTGCTGTCTCATAGAACTGGAATAAGTGGCCAGATGGGAGCAGTTAACAGCACTCACTGTTTTTATATTTTGTCCTTTCCTTAAGCATGGTATTTGTTTCCTCTCCACAGTCCTGCCTGGAAACTATTTGCTCAAATATGAGTTGAGTAATAATGTTCACATTTCGTGATTGCCATAAAAGTTAATTTCCATCACATCACAGACAGAAAAATGTGAGTGATTTCAGCTAATTTAAGTCCCACCTAGTTAGATAAGTTTATTTATTCAAGAAGTCTCATTAAGGTTAAGCTCTCTATTACAAGAGAGCTAAGAATAAATTACATGTACACAAGATCACAGTAATAAATCCCGTCACTCAAAACAGTCTCCACATTCAGACACACGAACACAACAATCAAAACTCTCGTAAATATTGTTGAAGCTTTGAAATCCCTGTGAGGAGTGGATGTCTCTATCTTTCAGGTGTGTTCTAGCTTAATCCTGCGTTCTCAGCACTAGAAAAAAGTGTGGGTAGGTGGATGGATATGTGTGCATGAATTTGGTTTGGCTGTCTGATAGAAGCAGAAAAACCTGAACATTTTTTGTGACCAAAGTTGGAGTAAATAATATTTGCTGGGTTTGGGTTTTGCTTCCTATAAACAGGCCACCCATGGTGAACATGTATCCTTCAGGGTGCTGAGTAATGTTAACAGGAGGTGCCAAGCCAAGGCAGTTAAAGTGATTTTTTTTATTAGTTCTGTAAAATATTTCATTAAATAAGTGGCCAGATGGGAGTAGTTAACTTAACAGCACTCACTGATTTTCTTTAACCTTTAAGCATTTGTTTGCTCTCCTCACTCCTGTCCGTAACCCTGTGTGTGCCTGGAAACTATTTGCTCAAATATGCTCACGTTTGATGATTGACATAAATAATAATTCTACATTATTTGCTGTCATAAATCCCTCATTTCCATCACATCACAGAACGAAATATGCGAGTAATTTCAACTAATTTATCTCCTGTTTTTTCACTTAATTGGTTGCGTTTGTTCATTCAATAAATATCATTGAGTCTAAGATAAAGAGCGCTGAGAAAAATTACACAAGATCGCAACAATAAAATTCATCCACATAACCACAATAATTAAAACTGTTATAAATGTTATTAATGCTTTAATGTGTCTCTGAGTAGCGAGTGTCTCTAACTTCAAGGTTTGCTGCAGCTCAGGCCTGCAATAAGGTACAAGAAATAGTACAAGTACAAGAATTCAGTCCAGAGCAGAAGGTGTCAGAGTCATTTGCTGTGGTTGCCTTGTTTTGGTATAACTGCCTAGTTAGAAATCACCATTGCTGAGCAAGATATTCAGCATAAAGTGATGTAGGTCAAGCCACAGCTCTTCAGCAGATTTTAAGATTTTAATGCTGAGTGACAACTTAGCACAGTGATATTACGTAGTATATAGTATATATATATGAATATATATATATGTATACTTATATAACTCACTCACATATATATAGTATTATATATATACTATAACATTTAGATATTATGTTTATATAAATATAGTATTATTCGCTTGAATCGCAAGACTGGGGATGAACAGAGGGGCAGGGAGAGGGGGGAAAGTCAAATGCTCTGTTTCCCATTCTTCTTTTAGAAACTCGAGGAAAAACCTACAGTGTAAAAACAACGTGCTCTATTGGGATAATTATGGTATTGTGAGGTCTTTAACATATGATGATGCCTGATTATTCAAAAGTTTGTATGTGAGGAGATGGATGTTAAAAGACAGTCTGGATTGGGAGAAATACACTCACTCTCTCTGGTCCCAGTTACTACTCTCGCTGCAGTGTTCTGGATCAACAGAAGACTTTTCAGAGAGCTTTTAGAGCAAGAATTGTAATAGTCCAGCCTAAAAAGTATTGACTAAATGAAGGATAGACGTTTATTGGTCAGGATGTGCTTGTAATGTCGAGCTGAGCTGGACAGTAAAAATATTGATGCACAGAGTAAATAGTGTGCCTAATATTGAGCTTTGAGGGACACCATATAAGTCATCTGGGGAAGTGATTAAAAACAATTAGCAGCAAGAGTTTGAACACACAGACAAATGTGATTTTAATGAGCCGTTTGCTGTGACGATTGAAGCACAGTGTTGCTTTTCATCTCGTGAACAGCAGCAGTTGCAACAGTTATTGTGTAAAGCTTTGCTGCTCTGACTGATGCATCTTATTATCTTATTATAGGTTAGCTTCCAGGACTTGGGACAGACAAGACAGCAGCAGTGTTTGCTGTTGCATCTGACACACACACAGACGACATTAACCCAGTTCCTCTGCTGTAGTCAGAGGGACAGTCTCTTCAGTGTTTCTCAGATTTAGCCAATCCGCACTGTCAGCAGCTACAAGACGAGGTCGTCTCCTCACCGAGACGAAGGAGCTCCGAGAGGTCTGGCATAATGTTGCGAGATCCTCCACTTTAGGCTTTGTTTGCTTTTGTAGCAGATTTCTCAGCCTTGTCTCTCAGGTAGCGTGATTTACTGGTATTATGATGAGATGAGATGGTGGCGATGACTGAAATGGAGGAAGTCGAAGAGTAAATATTAATTTCCTTGGCTTTCAGGCATCGTGAGTGCTTTGTGTGGGAGGTGTGTGTAGAGAGGGTATTTGAAACGTGTGATAACAAAGCGAAATCTGAGTGTGCGTGCATTTGCTCATATTAATCAGAGTGTGTGCATATTTGTGCACATTAATAAGTGTCCCCGCTGACGCTTGACTTGGTGGGAGGTGCTGCATTGTCTTGTCTGGGCTTGTCCCCATGATAATGACAAGCTGTCTCTAATTCTTTTCCTTTATCAAGTTTTCCATCACTTTCTTAATATTTTGAGTCAAGCCTTTCATGACAAACACACATTTTAGGCTTACGTATTTCAACTAGAACTAAATAATATTCATAATTAATTTGTGCTGTTGAGCTCATGCCTCATGGTGAAACCTACTATTCGCAATATGCTTGAGTTTGTCTTTACAGAAAAAAATAATAAAACAACTCAAGTTTTAAATAATCTTTTGAATGTAGTCATACTTGGATTCATTTCAACACAATTTAACTGTTTTCTCTTATAATCAAATGCAAGATAAACTCATATCATCACCGCAGTGTTCAGCAAATATCACTCAGTTCTTTAAATTTGCAAATAGGGATTTGCCAACACACTTAAATATATACAAGACACAGGAAAATACATTTGTAACAAATTTAAAAAAGGTTCAGTAAAGCATAAGTTTTACTGCTAGAGTATTAAAACTTATGCTTTAGTGTACCTTGGCACTGATTCTCAGAGTCTCTTGAACTCTACAGGAGGCGTGAAACACTTCCGAAAGACATTTCCTCCTTTGGCGTTGTGATGATGTGGAGCAAAGTGCTGGCTGGCAAGTCGATTTAAAGTCTCCCACAGGTGGTCAGACAAAACCAGCACGAATGAATGTTAAGTGTTTAACTGTGTGGAAGCATTTACATCCATTGTGTTTGTGGATGTTTATATTTAGCTTTTACTTCAAACAGTTTCTCTTTTTATATTAAGGAAGAAATCGATACCATATTATCTGCACCAAGAACCTGCTCATGAAGACCCATATTCCTAAATATGGGGTTTCTAGTGTGTTCTTCATATATAGTGGTTTGATATCTTGTCAAAAGCATATAAATAGTGTGGATTATCACTGTTTTGGCTCAGGTGAAATGTATGTAAGGAAAAACAAAAGCTAAAGCAGTCATCTCGGCTGTTTTTTTTTTTTTTATCTCGCCACATTTTCGTTGTTCCGTGTGTCTGCTGCCCGACGTAGACATCAAAAAGAGCTCAGCACATTAGCCACTTCTCCACGCCACTGTGTAACACGACACTATGTTCTTGTCTTTGTTCTTTGTCTGCTGCTACCTCTAATAGCCACTTCCGATGTTATCAGAAATTTTATTTGAGTCAAACGTCACCGGCGTTTGTTTTTAGTCTGAAAACAGGCTGCTCTCTCTAGCTTTCCATCGCTGACCCATCCTCTACGGCATTGAATGGTTTTGTCACCATGGTGCCCCTTCATTTCTTGACGTAAGCATGACTGGACGTGACTTGTTTTCTGTGAGTGCCTGCTGCTCTCCCCGCATCGCTCCCCCTTTGTGAAAATGGAAATGGAGATATCAGACAGAATGAATGGAAGTTAAAAATGAGGAGTGAGAGGAAGAAAAAGAAATTGTGAGGGGCATTGAAGATGAAAAGAATAGATTCCAAAAATAGGATCCAAGAAAAGAAGAGAGAAAAATTTAACAACATCCCCTCTGCTGCTTTGAGCTTTTGTCCTTCGCTGTGCATAGATTTAAAAAAGCACACAAAAGAATCTGTGATGTTGCAGCCAATTATCCTCCCCCTGCTCTTTCTCTGTCTCTCTCAGGTGCATACCTGGTGCCATACTTGATTCTTCTCATCCTCATTGGCATCCCACTGTTCTTCCTTGAGCTGGCGGTGGGTCAGAGGATCAGGCGTGGCAGCATTGGTGTGTGGAACTACGTCTACCCAAGGCTGGGCGGCATCGGGGTTTCCAGCCTGATGGTAAGTGGGTTATGTCGCTTAACATGACCTCCGATTCACACTCAGTTTACATGTGATAAGCAATGACTTCACTGATGCCTGTCACTTTTAACTTGCAACCATGTTAGTGGCTCTGTGAGGACATATTGACGTCAACAACACCTCCGTAGGAATGTTACTGCATGTAGGGTTGACGCAGGCCACAAATATTGTGATTGGTGTGTTGGCAATTCCTTCTGTGCATTTACCCTTTCACTGCAGTTTTTGAATTTATCAGTGAGAGACTAACAACCAAAGCCTCATTACAAAGATTAATAATCATAGTAGCAAAATAAAGACTCACAAATGTCAAATTCCTGGAGAAAGGTTGCTGAAACAGAATGGATGTGTGGAAAAACATTCCAGCGTTTTATTTGTTTCATGTCTGGCACTGCAAATAAAACATGACCACAGACTAATTAACATATAATGCACAGGGGCAATGACGTCGGCCACTGAAATCGGTTACGCTGTAGGCTTTACAAAGATACCCCACAGAAGTCAAAATCGGGACTTAGTGGTGACCCATCCAGTAATTATGTGGACATTTCAGGTCAAACCACAAATGTCTCTGTCACGGTGGCAATAAAAGAAAAATCAGAGGGGCCATTCTGGTGAGTTCATGAATGCCTGTATGAAATTTCATGAATTATTCATTTTTATTAAATTCACAAGGTCATGATTTTCTCAGTTTTTCTGCCATGAAAGATTTACTCTTGTATCCAGCATGAAGTCCACTCTATTAAAATAAATAAATATAAATAGATAATACTTGTGCTTCTCTCTCTAAATTAACCCAATTAATAAACATTTCGCTGCCTAACCACTGGACCAATGCAAATTTATTTATGAGCGACTAAGATTTGATGTTTTACTGTTAGTGGAAGATTTGGTGACATATTTTTTCCACCTCGTAGTGAATCACCGGACTGTAAAACAATAAATAACAGATGATATTCCAATCTAATGGTCATTTTATGATATCTGAATTGATCTTTTTTTTTAATTATTATTAATTTTACTCAATTATACATCCATAAAAAAACAATGATTAATAAAGGCAGTGAGCCTTATTTATGGCTGCTTTATTTAAATGCAATTGAGTATTGTGCTGCTTTTGCATCGTGATTGAAACAGCCTGTGAAGACATACAAATGCGTTTAAGACCAAGATCCACTTTATACAACTGTGTTAAAGAATGATTTTCATCACTTTAAATTCTCATTGTTCTCTCAGACTACAGACATGCTGTGCCGGACTCCCTCTGCCTGCTCATATTACTTCCTTTTGTTGCATTAAAGAGAGCAACATGCAAAGATCAGCGCCGATCGCTGTCACAAACTATTCCCATCAGCAGCAGCAGAAGTAGTGACCCATCAGTGCTACCAGCTTAAAATATAGCCAGTCAGCAAATGAGTCTGTCGGCCTTTCTGTTTGACTCTCTTCCTGATAGTGATTTCATCCATCCAGTGCAAAGGCGGAGATGGAAAGACCTGGCCCGGGGCAATGAGGCGTGTGGCAGCTCGGATATGGCAGAGGGAGATCAGGAGCTATAAATACCTCCTCATAGAGGACCCGAGCTTTAGCTGCTGAGAGCAAACAGCTCAATAATTGATATGCACTCTAATTTAAGCTGTGTGCTTTGCATCTACGCCATGACTCAAGAAAAAGAGTCATGGCATAAACAATCTGGATTTGTGTGATTTGTTTTTCACAATGTTAAGTGTTGCTGTTTTCCTCTTATTTTTCTTCAGGTTTGCGGTTTTGTGGGCCTCTATTATAACGTGATTATTGGCTGGAGTATCTTCTACTTCTTCCAGTCTTTTCAGTATCCACTGCCTTGGGCTGAATGCCCCATCCACAGAAATGGAACTCAAGCCGGTGAGTGAACAGTACAGTCCACTAAATCACTAAACAGCTGCAAACGGTTGAACATAAACGCACAGCAGAAAACAAATGTCCACATGAATGCTATTTTGTTTTATGCCCCATGACACCGAGTCCAGAAAAATAAATAAATACTACAGTTTCCAACGAGGTAATTTCATATTCAGTAATTATGGCAGGAGATGCAGACGCGGCACTTAGCAGGATGCCTTTGCATTGAAGCAGCTTTCTGCTGTGGCTCTGTGGTCAAGCAGAAGTGTTTCGGCAGACATCTAGCAAATAAGTGTTTGGGCTGTCTCTATTGCTGGGCCGGCCCTGCGCTTCATGCTACATGGCAGCTCTGTTGCGGCACTTGTCAGACCGCATGACCCGTCTGAGGGTCAGTAGCTCTAATGGCTGGCAGCTGGTAGTCTTTGGGGCACACGCAGGTTCTGGCAGAAGAAAAGGCATCAACTTTCATTAGCATGAGAGGGCAGGATCCTGACTCTGCTCATGGTTGTAAAATCAGTGGGCATGTAGTGATGTTAACTATTTCCAAAGGTGGAAAGCATTGTAATTAAGCAGGTTTACATAATTAAATGCGATTTAACTTATTTCTACTTTATTTTCCATTTTACTGCAACAGAGTATCAACATAGCTATATTTGTATGTTTTTTTAAAATATTCTGTAAAAAAGGAAAATTATAAACATATAGTGATGATTTTCACTGTCAAATAATCTCCTGATTATTATTTTCTAAATGACCCATTTTGTTCTCAAAGTGTGAAGAAAGAAGTTTTAATAGGATTTCATAGTTTTGAACAGCTGGAACCTGTAAATGTTTTCTGTTCTTTAAGCAGTTGCTAATTAATTTATGCCAGCTGACTAATCATTACCTTACAGGGGTTTTTTTTCACTTCTGTTCCTAATTAACAGGCCATTTTAAAGCACTTTTTGTCACTTTTTGCATGTACTTGAGAACGTGAGATGTGTGTGTGTGTGTGTGTGTGTGTGTGTGTGTGTGTGTGTGTGTGTGTGTGTGTGTGTGTGTGTGTGTGTGTGTGTGTGTGGTTTGGGGGTGGGGGGATGAAACAAAGGTCAGCTGGCCAGGAATCAAACTGCAGACACCACAGTTATGTGGCGTGTGCACATAAACCATTAGGCTATCGGCATCTTCAATTAATTTTTTTTGAGTTGTTTTCATTCATTAAAAGAGTTTTACAATGAAATAAAACCAAAAACTTGAAATATTTGGCTGTAAATTATGAAGAAATCACTTATTTTGTAAAATTCATGCAAAAGCCAACTGCATTTTCTCCTCAAGGAAGTAAGGAATTACATTCAAAGTAATTATAAAAATCATGAAAATACTTCTTATGTAAATGCATTACTTACAGATTAAGACTAACAATAATTTTCATACTGTGCTATTTTTTGTAGCTGCTGCTACTAAATTTCCATTTCTGGCCTTTTGCAAATGATTTTATTTAAGATAAAACATCTGTCAGGTTTTCTATTTTAAAAGTACACTGGATGCATTTAATTATCGGTGTGCTTTTCCCTCCCCGTCTTCCCGTTTGTTGCTGTTACAGTTGTGGAGCCAGAATGTGAGAAGAGCTCAGCCACCACTTACTTCTGGTACCGCCAGGCTCTTAACATCACCAGTAGCATCGACGACACTGGAGGTCTGAATTGGAAAATGACCCTGTCCCTGCTGGTGGCCTGGATCATGGTCTGCCTGGCTGTCATTAAGGGCATCCAGTCCTCTGGAAAGGTACAGGGTTCCACTGAGTTAACAAAACAAGGCTTAAACCTGCTAACTATTGAAATTAGGATTCTGAATTCATTCATACACAACACAGACTCAGAATAAAAACCAAAAATAATTTGAAAAAACAACAACTTGAAATTTCTATTTTTATTCAGTGATTCATCCTCATCAGAGAATGTTTGGGGTTGTTTTTTAGGCGAAGGTACGATGCTAAGCCTCTTGTCGGCACTTGTCTATTTTGGGATCTCATCCATATTATGGAAGAAAGGAACATGCAGCATTAATAAACTTAAACTGAACCAAACAGAAAGTGTTTCAGGATGCAGATGGAAAATTCTTAGTTTGGCAACAACTGCAACAACATCCTGTAATCTTGATCCAGCGAATGAGTCATACGCAACAGCAGCATCCAGCCCAGCGTCTCAGTAGGAAAAAGCACAACAAAGAGCCGATCGCCAAGTTCTGACACACTATTTTAAACCCTAAACTTGGTGATCTAATTATCATAGCCAGTTCTGTAGCGATTCCCTGAAATGCTGCAGGGAGAAATATTTTACTTCACGAATTCATCTTCATGTTTGAGTCCACAGATTCAGTGCCAAGCAAACACAAAACACTGTGTGTGTGTGTGTGTGTGTGTGTGTGTGTGCGTGCGTGTGTGTGTGCGTGCGTGCGTGCGTGCGTGCGTGTGTCTTTGCACATCTTCCTCTATGTGTAAGACCTCTTAATGCATATCCATGGAAACACAGTGTTAATGTACTTGACTTTCTCTCTTAGGTGATGTACTTCAGCTCTCTTTTCCCGTATGTGGTGCTGTTCTGTTTTCTGGTGCGAGGTTTGATGCTGAAGGGAGCAGTGGATGGCATCGCTCACATGTTCACCCCTAAGGTGAGGGACAGTCAGAGTTCATTTGACCAAAGAAAAAAAGGGAACATTTTCAGAATGTTTTTATGTTGGACTACAGACTAAAATCTGAAGCTTTCTCCTCTCACGCTGCTGACAAGTGACACTCTAAGTGACATTTGGTCCACCAGGCTGTTCAGCCATGTGTGGCTGATGGTTTTAGCATCACGTACTCAGATCCTCTCACAGAAAAATGTCACGAATGCCCATCACTTGTTCTGTGTTGGGTTGATGGCTCCCTCTAGTGGTGAAGGTTTATGACAGCAAAGTGCTTTGTAGTACAGGCAGTTTGGTGTTGATAAAATTATTCAAAAATAGCCAGAATAGGTAGTGGAAATGGAAAAGTGAAAAGTAAGATCAGCATCCTTACTTATTGTGGAAGAAAATGCATTTACATTATTATGTCCTTTGTAGGATCACGTAATGTGCATTAATTTGGGGACTGATTAGCTCCAAAATGAATATTATAGTAGAGTAGTAGAGAATACGCTTCATTAGAGCTGAGATGAAGTTTAAGTTTTCCACTTACAGTGAACAGGACTAAATGGTAAATCAACTGGTTCTTATATGGCACTTTTCTACTAAAGCACTCAAAGAGCTGTATGCAGCATTCACCCATTCATACACGTACATTCACTGCTTTCTATCTGACATTCACACACGTTCATACTCCAATCAACAAATAAGTATCATTCCCAAGGACGCTTATTCGTTCACTGGAGGACATGCAGCAGGGATCAAACCACTAACCTCCAATTAGTAGATGACCTGCTTCTGATTTATAGCCGCCTCATACATAAGCACATCCACTTTTCTCAGATACGTACAACTGATTTAAGAAAACTCTCTGTAGAGGTTTCATATTTCCCTTAGTGTTCAACTACAGTGTGGCTGCTGTGTTAACTTTTTGAGTGGCCAATTTAGACCTAAACCCACATAACATGGTCAAAAATCTGGGATAAAAAATTCCAAGCAGACTTCATATTCGTCATTACAGGGTAACCACATGCACCGGGAAAAGATAGTGTAGTCAGTTCATGTATTTAGCTTATGGTGCTGGATATGTTAATTTAAATCATCCAATGAAAACACGTGATATGTTAAATATATGAAATAATAATATTCTGGAGATTTTTAGAATAAATATGAAACATTATCTAAACTTTACAATCTTTTCCTCTTTTTGTCTCTCCAGCTGGAGAAGATGTTGGAACCACAGGTGTGGAGAGAAGCAGCTACGCAGGTCTTCTTTGCGCTCGGACTGGGCTTTGGCGGCGTCATCGCTTTCTCCAGTTACAACAAGCGAGACAATAACTGCCACTTTGATGCAGCACTGGTTTCCATCATCAACTTTCTTACCTCCATCCTGGCCACTTTGGTAGTGTTCGCTGTGCTGGGGTTCAAGGCCAATGTCATGAACGAGAAGTGTGTCGTCGAGTAAGTGCGTCGCACTGAAGCAAATGCAACCTCAGCAATCTCAGATAGGAAACTAACATGTTTTTCTTCTTTACATCTCCAACCCATGTGCAGGAATGCAGAGAAGATCCTGGGCTACTTAAACACAGGTGTGCTGAGCAGAGAGCTCATCCCTCCTCACATCAACTTCTCCCACCTGTCTTCCCAGGACTACGCAGAAATGTACGCAGTTATAAAGACAGTGAAGGAGGAAAACTTTGCCCAGCTGGGCCTGGATCCCTGTATCCTGGAGGATGAACTGAACAAGGTCAGGGGGAATAAATCTTCGAGGCAGAGATGATCATCTGATTATATATCTGAATGAAATACACGAAGGGTAGTTTAGAGATTAGAGAAAGGTGGCTGCAGGTAAAGGTAAATTATTATTAAGGAGACCAAATGATCCTTTTATGTTGTTAGCCAGAGACAAATTTGGGTTAGCGTTACCATTGAGAGTAAATGTACTTTATCATGTTATTATATAATGAGTATAAAGTAGCTGGGTTGTTATGAGCTGCTTAATAACCTTCAGGTTGTGATTTTATTTCATGATCAGTGACTGTTGTGATTAACTCTCTTTTTGGTGCCAAACCCATTTTACAAGCACTTTTAAAGTGACCATAACTCCATTGCCATTTGTGCTAGAGACAAAATGCAGCAATATTCAATGTATCATCGTAGCTCAAAGCATTCACAAGGTACTGCTGTCTTCAAATGGTTCCCTAAATATGAGAATTGTTTTGTAATTTTACAGCCAAAAAAGACAAAATAAGGCCAGGTAGTCTGTATGATACTTGGGTGATAAAGCGTACAGAATACAGCAGATTATTTAGTTTTGTTGGATCATTGTGGGTTTTCAGGTCTCTACGGGCATTTATTTGGTGTAAGTGGATACAAATTATTATTGCTATGCAGTTAGTTTAGGCTATGAGTTGCACTCTGGAGAGTACCCTGATGCCACTACATGGTTACCTGTGAATCACTGGTTTTGAGCCTGATCCCCTGAGCTCAAACCAGTATGTTACCTTGCCTCCCCAGCTGCATCGGTTTAATTTAAACCCTCAAATTCATCTTGCTACTCCTTACTTTACAGATGATTTCCGCGCTAGTTTGAAAATGACCTTGTTAGATTGAGTCCAGAGGCTATAACTTTCTCAGAGAGACGATAACTCATCTCTGTGTTATGCTAATATGCTCATAACCTGCCTGGCCACCCCTGTGTAGTCTCTAATGTTGTTAAAGCTTTCCAGTGTGCCTCTTACTAGTTAAGATCACTGAGAGGCCCCTGGAAATATTTTCAAGAGCAATTGCCTTGCATAATTTGATTGTTGGTCTCTGTTATGTTGTAATTTTAAGCTTAATGCACTATCCCGCTCAAAGTGCATCTTTATGAACTCTTTATAAATCGCCTTCATGGCTACACTGCATAAATAATGTTAAGTGGGCGATATCTCTCCATCTTCTAGGCAGTTCAGGGCACCGGTCTGGCGTTCATCGCCTTCACAGAGGCCATGACTCACTTCCCTGCCAGTCCCTTTTGGTCCGTCATGTTCTTTTTCATGCTGATCAACTTGGGCCTGGGAAGCATGATCGGCACCATGACCGGCATCACCACACCCATACTGGATGCCTTCAAGATCCGCAAAGAGATTCTGTGTGGTAGGTGCTGATTCTGCTTATATTCTTCTTCTATCCTTTGATGATTCTAACTCAATATTTCCTCTTGCCTCCCTCAGTGGTTTGTTGTATCATAGCCTTCCTGTTGGGGTTACTGTTCGTGCTGCGTTCAGGGAATTACTTTGTGGCAATGTTTGATGACTACTCTGCTGGTTTGCCCCTCATTGTGGTGGTGATCCTAGAGAACATCTCTGTAGCCTGGATCTATGGAACTAAGAGGTAATTTGCAGATATGCAAAATGAAGACTAGGCCCTCATACTACAGCACAGTCATTCTTTCATTCACAAGAAAACATTCACCAAAAAACTCAATATTTTCCCCGTTTTACTCAGAGTATATTTGTTGAGACATCTTTTCTACCTTGTTACAGGTTTATGCAGGACCTGGAGGACATGCTTGGGTTCAGGCCATACTCCTTCTACTTCTACATGTGGAAGTTTGTGTCCCCTGCTGTCTTGGTGTTGCTCATCTGTGCCACTGTTATCGAGATGGCCGTTAGTCCTGCAGGATACAATGCCTGGGTAGAAGCTGAGGTCAGTAATCAGAAGCACTGAAGTTGCTTGACTGAGAAACATTTGACCAAATCCTCCCTTCTTGCAATTCATCTAATTTTCTCTCCTCACCTCTTCTCATCTCTCCCTTCGTTTCATTTGATTTTGTCGGCCATCCTCATTGAATTCTTTTGGTTTCAGGGCTCGGACCGTTTCCAAAGTTATCCTCCTTGGGCTTTAGCCATGGCCTATGCCCTCATTGTCGTTGCCATGCTGCCTTTACCCATCGTCTTCATCGCCCGCCACTTCAGCCTAATCTCAGATGGCTCCAACAAGCTCTCCGTCTCCTACCGTAAAGGTATGATGAAGGACATCTCCAACCTGGAAGAGCAGGACGAACAGCGTTTCATCCTCAGCAAGAACCCCAGCGAGGCTCCCTCTCCCATGCCTGCCCACCGCGCTTACCTGGGCCCCGGTGGCACCCAAGAGATGACCAACACCAACTACGGCACCAGCACCAAGACGGGCTACCAAAACATCGGCTCGCCCGAGTCTGAGCTATGATCCACTGACGTAAAAAGTCCCGCCATTAAACCCCGGCCCTGCTTACAGAGAGGGAGGCAGTGGGAGTAAAAAAGGGAGAGAAAATTCACTTGCAGCATTCATCACACCTTAACCCCCAGAGCAAAATCCCTCTATTCCCCTCATTCTGCTCCATTACCCTTCACCTATGTTTCTCATCGTCTTGTGCCGCTAATTGCATGTCAGTCTCAGACATGATGAAGAGCTCATGAGAACGTGAGACCAAACAGATATGACAACCATCTCCATCTGCCAGGAGATGGGGCGGAAAAAGAGCCAAATGAAATATAGAAGAGTCCAAAAGCTCTGGTTGAGGTTAAGGTTTTTTGCAATGCTAACATAATTTACATTGTAGTGAACTGTAATGTGTGTTCATCAGCTCGTGCTTCTTTTAGTTCACCTGGAAAGGATTGTTATTTGTGGGGATAGGATGGAAGGAGATGGAAGAAAAGCACTCATCTTGTCCTGATCTGCATCACGGTATGAGAAGATTTCTTATCTAGAAAATGTGTAAATAAAAAAACAGTATCTAACAATTGATTCCAATAGCGTAAACAGTGTTACAAGCACATTATATCTTTAAGTTTATTGTGCCTATCACACATCAGCAATAATAACCAGTCACAATAGTGTCTTCATTCAAATGTGGATCTCCTTCTATCTTGTTTTTCCCCCACTGATGTAGAATACTGTACATATATGTCGTGCAATAGTTTGAGATGTCACCGTAAATTGTGCATATACACTGCAATAGTGCAAGTCAAGGGGCGGCGTTTTGCCTCTTCATGCCATGAACACAGAAGCACAGGCGCCTGCTATCATTAGAGCATCTCTGAGCCTTAACACAGAGCAGCACTTTCCTTTCAAAGGATCCTTCCCCTCAGCAAGCACTTCCCACTGTCTCTGTGCAGCTCCAGACCTAGATGACAAAGACAAAGCTTTTCCATTTTAATCAATTGTTTTAATCATACTGTTTTAATTAAAGCCTTAGAAGGGCAGCAGCGGCAATGCACGAGCAAGAACAAGCACGGCGACGTGTGTTTGATCAGAGGGCAGCTTCGTGCTTGTCTGTCTCATTGTCAGAAAAGCGAATGCAGAGGAGGAATTGGAAATGTGAGTTTCGTCTTCGTGTACACGTCCAGATGCGCATGTGTAATTGTGCATGCACAAATGTGTTGTCTGCCACTGAATGAGAGCTGCTGGTGACCCTGCCTGTTTAAAAATAGAGCTGCGTTGCCCAGGGGAAGCCGTGGCAACACACCATAGATACAGATCCTCTTGTGATGTGGAGGAGGAAGAGGAGAGCAGACACCTCGCTCTGTCTGCTCCACCTGCACAGCTGTTTGCTCGGTTAAACAGACGAGACATTTTACGGTTGATGCCCTTCAAGAATATGTTTCTTATGTTATACCTGTACATTGAATAACAGGTTCACTGCCATGCTGTGCTGTGGATTAATCATATGTCATCCCTGAGTGGATGGTATTTTATGTTCCAACTGAATTGTACATTCCTCGAATTGTGACCACTCCATAGAGATATAATTTCACAAGCACCGCAAACTACACCTCTGTCTTTTTCTGTGATCTGAGGTGTGAAAGTGAAACCTTTTTTTTTTTATTGTGTAATCTCAAATCATAGCACATTTTTAGAATTATAATGTGGATATGTACTCTGATATAAATGTTTGCAGTGAGTGGTAATACATGGTTTTCACCACTGGGTGACTCTGCTGGCCAGCAGAGGAGCCAATGACACTGTCCTGTGGCCCCTCCCTGAAACAACACCAGTACTTGAGACTGAACAGATGTAGTGTGAAGCACAGTCAGCCACATTGTTCGGTGCCTGAACAGATTCTGTGTTGTCTGTTTGCCTTAGGCTTTATGGGGTTTTTTCCCCCTTGATTATTTTATTATTTTATTATGTAGAGTTTTCACCAATGTTCCATCATATTAATTTGCACTTTAATTAGGGGGAGACCCTGGAGTTGTTTGTTAAGCACACATGTAAAAAAGAAAAGAGAGCAAAGTAAATATAGGGGCCAAATAGTTTAAGATGACAAGGCTCAACAGAAATGCATGACAAGGCAAAAACATCTAGTCCGCTGTATCGTCTAAAAGACATTTATCTTTGAGTGCAAAATGATAGTATTTTAAATCTCATCATCTGGCATCTTGTCAAAAGTACTACGTAAAATTTTGCCTGTCATCCGTTTGTGGTAGCCAGTAGCAGAGAGCTCTTATTACCCTGCATCCTATTTTGCTAAGCAATCCCTATGATACGATGCCCAGTACCCCCTACAGCATGGCTCTTGCTTTTAGTTGATGACCTACAATGGCTGTGATGCATTGCTTGGGACTGACTGGTATTAAGACAATACAGCTCAAATCTATTGCCCTGTCTCTCAAATGATGCTTCATCTTTCATTCATAGAAACCTCTGTCCATGATGGAAATGAAAGAGTTTAATGAGTGAAATTCTGCATTAAAGGAAACATGATATAGGGGATAAAAAAGATACAAGTTACAAAAGAGTAGTATTAACATCTGTAGATGCAACTTAACTTTGCTAAAATGCAGCTGACAGGGCCTCCTGTAAAAACTGTGCATGAGAACTATATGTGATGCAAATGGCACTTAAGCTGAGGTAGACACTTAACCTGTATTTTAAAAAAAGTTTTGGTTTGGATAAAGCACATTTTGGGTAAGCACAAAATAATTTTATGTCTAAATAAGCAACAAAATCATTGTGAATGAAAGGGGTGATGAAACTTAAACATCATGTCAGTAATATAGCTGTGATTGCTGCATTGTGCAAGACTCCACTAAAGCATAAAGCTGCACACTGAAATACATCCTCATAAAAAATTAAACTGCACCATAAGTCTACAAAAGCACCTGAAGCTACAAAGTGATATGCACAATACATAGATAACAATGTTGAACTAATGCTAATGCAGTGGGTCATATATGAAGAAAGCACAACAGCAGGCAAGCTTATATTTTTCTCTACAATTAGCAGCGATCAGCGCTACTGGCTGCAGAGTGGCCGTAATATGACAGCTGAGATTCCCTCTAACAATAAAAATCACTGAAACTCTGCAGCAAAGTGGGAAAATGTCTTCTCTGGTCCAAACCTAGCCTGGATACAGGTATCGATTTCTTACCGAAAACAAAGATTCCAACTCCAGGGTCTCTTTTTCTACGTGTTAACGAGGTTAACTCAGTTCAGTTACTAAGATGAACTTCCCAATAGCAACGTAAAAGTACATTTATTTAACCGTGCAGATAATCTTTATGTGACCAGCCATAGTTATATTTATAGTATTTAAGACAGTGTATTTACTCTGTACATATCGATGTACATTCTGATAAATTCACACTGATTATCTATAGTAAGAGTGACAGGGTGTATACTTGAGCTGTAAATAATAAATGTATATTTTGAGATATTTTTTGATTTTTTGTACTGTCAGTGGTGTTACTTTGGTGTCTGTTGGTTTCTGGTGTTTGTGTGTGGTCGTTCTCGAAACTTAGCCGAGTGACTGTGCATATGTGTATGTATATATCAGCGTGTGTATGTAAGTGTATGTGAGCGAGTGAGCGTGTTTAAAGTAAAGGTATATGTAGCTTTTTGGTGTTTAAATGTGTGTTTTTCGCCTCTCTCAGTGTTGTGTGCTGCTGACCTAATCCAGTAGATAAAATCCTGATGTTACAGTCAGCTGGGACCACTGATGTAAGCAATCTCTATTCTGTGTTTCTCACTGGAACTGCGGTGGCTTCCAGCACTAAACTGGCAAAACACAAATCAAGATGAAATGTCTGTCTACAAGAAAGAAGACAGAAACTTTCATTTGTTGGTTGAAGAGCATTCAGATCTGTACAAACATGATGGAGGGAACAGGAAATTAAAATAACCACTTTTATTAAACAGACCATGATGTGCGTCTCATTTGTTCTGTTGTTTATGCTGAAATGACTTAACACATTATGTTTATAATCTATAGATTCAATAACGGCAAAAGTTTTGTTCAGAATAAATTAGATTGTAGTGATGGGTGAAGGAAAAAACAATATTATAGACTTGTGAGGCTGCTATCTGTTGAAATGCATATCCTGTGTCATTGATCATCCGCACCACGCATTTAAAAGTTAATATCGCTCATATTTGGCTTTGCTGTATGCATATCGAGGTAGATTTTTTCCCATCCGTGTACAGTTACTGTGGCTTAAATGAGGACGTTAATGCCAAAACTGTGTGAGAATGAGGAGGAATGACGCTTTTACCGTGTTTTTAGGGGATGCACTTGTTTACTTGGTAGTAATGCCACAATATTAAGCAGTTTTAGAAATAATTATCCTTTAGGAAAGATGAATAACTTACTAAAAATGTCAAAATCAAATGCATACGGCTTGTAGACGGCTTGTTCTTGTATCTGCCAACCCCATGATAAATAATCATATTAGTTTTCTGTAACCTGGAATGTTTTATAGTTTATTGCCCTGGCTAACCTCCGAAAATTTAGAAGCTTTTCTCATGTGGCTTCATCTTCCTGCAACTAAACTCCTTGAAATGAACCCCAATCTGTGATTTCACACATACACGTGAAGAACGGTCTACCAGGCCAGGCTGTGCAAAGTAGTAATAGGCCAGCACTGACATAAGATTCTCCCTCTGCCATGATGAAGGCTGCTCCCACTTGTAAATCCATCATATGATAGACTTATAACAGCGTGTCAACAAGGACTTTTCACCTGCTGTGTCCTGCCGTCGCTTTACAGCTGCTCAAACAGATTCAGAGTTTATATAGCAGTGCAGTCAGATGGGACAGAGACACATCATCAAACCAGCAGGAGTCACACAGGTGTGAAAATATTCTTGCTCCTATTTCTAACACATGGCTCTTGATGCATTCTCATAAAGTCCTCACTGCTTGAAAAACAATCTAAAAGGGAGTATAGAGTCTAATTGTAGCTGCCATTCTGCTGAGTAGTGGATTCAATAATATGCCACTCCAAGCCCAGGGGCCACTTTGAAGTCTACAGAGAGACATTACTTTAATTGATATTGGCTAGCATGTACTTTGTGTCACGATAAAGCAGGGACTGATGTTTCTGCAGCTGTTATGGTTTTGGCCACAATCGCTGTGTGCGTAAAAGTCAAGCTGTTTGCCTTCCACACTCAGTCACACGCTTCCTTCCTTGGCTTTCCAGTGCACTTTGAAGAACGTCTTCCCATTCTGTCATGTCGTAAACAGATCATTTCCCGCCACAGTGTAACATGGGAGACCCACAAATAGGCTGTGATGACTTAATAATGCACATACAGAGAAACTGTACGTGCACGCGCATTGATGGGAATTACACCAGCAGAAGATGTTTATCTAAAATCAGCGCACAAAGCCAAGACGCTACTTCCCATTTTCCCACTGCCACGCCACCTGATCCGGGAAACGACTGTGTCTACGGACATTTTTCACACTTTAACCGGCATTTTCCTGGCAGACTGAGTTTGCGTGGGCAGAGATCCATCAGTCATATTCTCACAGGCGCTTTCAGCTACTGTCAGCTTCCACAGCAGAGGCCAAATGGTCCTGTGCAAGGCCTGTTAAGAGGACCGGCCGAGGGGCCATGACGGCTCATTAGTGTTTGACCAGCTCGTTGCAAACAACGCTGAGCTTCAGCAACACTGACAGTAAAGAAGGCTACACAGGCAGTATTTTCATCCAGTGAAGCTTTTTATTCGTTACTTTATTTGAATTCAGCCTCTTAAGAGGTTTTTAGAGACCTTCAGCTTAGAACAATTGTATTATTTAAGCTACACATATTACTAGAATCTATTTCACTTTTTTCTTCTCTGTTGTAACAGAATCTTAAAATGATTTACAATTTGTTGTTACAATAACGTCAGTGAGAGATAAAGCCATATGTATTCTTCAATCTAACAGTAATGTTCAAAGCTGAAAAATTAAACCTGTAAGGTGTCATTTATAATTGGTGATGACCCCAACCCAAGCCCTAAGCCTTTGAAATCAGTATGTCATTTTTGCTATTTTTTAATTGTCTCAAATCTTGACAAACAGGAAGTAAAGGAAATAATCGTCGTTACCTGCACAAATCTAAAGCATTTACTGTTTTTCCAAAAAGAAAAGTCAGTTCTGCTTTTCTTGGCTTGGACATCATAGTAAGCCAATAAAAAAAGTGGTAGAATTTGCAGCTCCTTGATTGTCCACCTCAGACTGGGTTAAAAAATAAAATAAAATAAAATAAAATAAAATAAAATAAAATAAAATAAAATAAAATAAAATAAAATAAAATAAAATAAAATAAAATAAAATAAAATACTCACAAACAGTCACGTTAAAATGTCCAGCTCCACAGCAGCATAATCAGGTTTGCAAAGAACTGTTGGGTTTCCTTTGCTAGTCCCACCCTTTGTAACAATTGTGATGGTGGCTTTTTTTCTCACTGTGAAAATTTTCTTAACGTTTGAATCATCATCATCACCACACCCATGCCCAATGGATTCTAAATTGGATGCCTGTTAGGCTTAGCCTCCATTAAATCAAATAATTTACCCTTTGATAGGGTTGATATACTTACACACACACGTGTTTTGGTACTTTAGTTATTGTATCCCTATTATCAGCGCCTGTGTGACAGCCATAGTTTCTGAATTCACCTATCCAAGCTCCATAGTCAGCTAGTGACATGTTAATCCAGCCTTTCACCCAGTACTGTGTACCTTCAGGCTCTGCAGAGATCCAAAAACCAGTGGCTGATGTCCATCCTCTAAATACAGGGTGTGGTTTTAATAGTCTCAAAACTGGAGTGCAGAATCAAAATAGCTCCAAAATGGGACTTTATAACTAATGTGACGGTAAGGAGAACGCAGAGTAGCACACACTCTCAAAATGTAATACTTTGATATATTTTATGCATCTCTCCTGCCAAATCGCTGCCTTGTTTTCATACAACTGTGTTGGAAACAATTTGTTCTACAACTTTTTTTAAACTTGTCAGTCTAATTTCATCATATTTAGCTGACAGGCACAGTTAGCTTCAAGCCAACACTACACAGACTAATAACAACAACAACAACAACAACAACAACAACAACAATAATAATAATAATAATAATAATAATGTATACTTTATTGATCCCCGTGGGGAAAGTAGTCTCTCTGCATTTGACCCATTCACTCAGTGAAGCAGTGGGCAGCCGCTAAACAGGCGCACGGGGGAGCAGTGTGTAGGTAGCACTCTACCTACTGAGCTATCCCTGCCCCTTACTGAGGATATTTGGAAAATTCTGCCTTCTGGGTTGTTTATCTTTTAGCCAAACACATGATTGACAGTTTTTAAAAAAGCAGAGATTATACTGATGCTGAATTTAACCTCTTCGCACCTGCAGTGCTGTTTCAACAACTAAGTAGGAAACGTAGCCTCAGACAGAGATTAGGAGCAAGTTCACTTCTTTCTGACATCTTTCACAAAGCATTCTTCAAGACCTGAAAAAAGACTTTTATGTTGGAAATCAATGGAATTTATTTATAGGGAATAAATAAATACAGTGTTACAAAGTCAGGAAATCAGTTTCAGTTACCGGTATGATGTCTGGAGAATTATAATGCTTTAACTGATGTCTACCAAGTAAATTGGTTTACAGCAACACTTAAAACTGATGTCTAAATATATACATATATGTATATAAAGTGATGAAGGATAACAGTCATAATTAGCTGTGAGACTATTTGGACACAAAGAAACAGGTAGAGCAGGTCACAAGAGGTAGCTGCTTCCACTCCACTTGTTTTTTCCTGTTGGATGAGCAGCAAGTTGAGTACAAGGCTTCATGCATTGGTGGGAGAGTTGGAGGGGTCAGTTATCTGACGCAGATAGAAGGGAAGCGGGAAGTAAGGGGAGAAGTTTAAGAAACACCCAAATTTAATGTGCATCACACCAAATAATTTAATGAGATAAAGGCAGACATATGGAGAGGGAGAAGGGTGAAATAAATAAAGACAGAAACATGAAAAAAATGTTAATGTAATGTTGTTAAGCAAAAGATCTCATAGATGATGCCTCTCAGAAAATCCTCAGAGCTGTGGGGACAGGAGCCGTTATCTCGATGCACACTCAATCCCTGCCGAACCACGATGCTTGAGACCTGGACACCAACTGAAAACCAACTTTCCTCAATAACAGCATCATCAGCCCCAACTGTGAAGAGAAGAACAATTCATATTTACCTTTGCACAGAAGCCACAAATATCTCGAGATGAACAATCAGAGGGCTGTTTTTTCAACTACAGCATTGTAGCAACGCAAGGCAGAATGTCCTGCAAAAGCTGCAAGGTGCATATAGAAACCTTAACGTGTAAACACGGGAAGTTAAAAACAAAAACAACACTCCAGTACTGAGAAATTTCTCCCATACAGTTTCCTTTTTTAGCATTTATGCTCACATTCATCTTCGCATAAAAGCTATCTGTGTCTGTGGGGTTGAAAGGTTAGAGGTAAACAGGAAGAGTCTTTGAATAGCACCAGGAAGCAAGAGCGAGTGTAGAGGTGCCAGGATCCATCAGAGGCATAAACAAACAAGCCCATAAACCAACACTGGTCAAATCAGGATTTCAGGAGTGATCAAATCAACAATCTGGTACATTTTGTAAAAAGAAGGAATGACACTGGTCAGCCCCACCACATCAAAAAGCTGGAAGACCACAGAAGACAGATCTGAGAATTATTTCCAGGTCAGGAAAAACAGCTTCACAACATCTGCACCAGGTAAACAACACTCTGGAGGTCAGTGTCAAAGTCTTAAATCAAGTAACACCTTTGTGAATAGAAATACAGCAATTTTACAACAAGGTAAAAAACACTGTTTACACTCAATTATAAAAAAAAACCCAGATTGGACGTTGCCAGAAAACATCTAAAAGAGTTTGCACTGTTCTGGAAAACAATCTTTTTGAGGCTCATAAAATGGGAGACTTTGTGCAAAAATGGTTGTAAGTCATAAACATTTAATGTAACACACTTATGATAAACCCTTTGATTTAAAGCTGAAAGTCTGAGCTTTAATCACATGTTAGTCGTTTGATTTAAAATCCACTGTAGTGGTGCAGAGAGGAAAAACTACAAAAATGTTGTTTTATTGTCAACAAAAACATATATTATATGATGCATACTTTAATTTCTTTGTGTCTATTTGTAGTCCTATTGGATTTTCTCTCAGGCAGCTTGATTTCTGTTTAACAGATAGCTGTGAATTTGATCAACATTTGAGATATTCCTCTCGAGGAACATTTCCCTGGTAAGTTATTTTTAGAAGCAGCATCCGGCTTTTGGTCTTTTTGTCTTTTTTTAAACGTTAAATAAATAAGATAATCTGTGGAGAGCACAGTTGAAATTGCATTAACAAAGACTGTATTCAGCTCTAGTCTAATGTATTCTACGGGGGCTCCAGTCCATGACCCTAACTGAATAAGCTGTTAAGAAAACGAATGGACGATATCTAAAATTGGTTGCAATTTGTGCAGACGTTTGTGGTTCTTAAACGATGCGTCCTAAAGGATTTTGATAAAGTTTTCTTCCACAACCAGCTGAAGGTTAGCGGAACCAATGATTTATATTCCTGAATCACGGGATTAAAATTCTAATTTCTCTAACACCTGAAAGCTAATCAGCCTCAGCTTTTCTTTGTGTTCACCAGACCGGTGACCAGAACATGATGACAATGTGAGCATCTAAAACCCCCTAGGTCTCTTCAAACACAGCTTCAAGTCACATAATCCACAATCAAAGCAGGACACCTGACATAACTACGATCAGAAAACTAACAATTCTTTGACAACTCGTTAAGAATTTGAAGGTAGCACAGCAGTTCATAAAAGGACGACGTTGGTGCCTCAATGATTCTCTAGCTACCTGTGAGTGGGTGGGGATGGGTGGGGTGGGGTAGGAGGTTATCACTAATGCATTAGGCATTTAATGGCCCAGTCAAGAGGGATAATTGCACCGATTCAGCCATTGTGTTGGAGTGCAGCTCTGAAACACCCCATCTTTAATGACAGCTGAAGAGCAGTGGGCACTGATTAGAGAAAGAGTGTACGTTCTCATTCTCTAACTCCTCATTGATTTCAGAATACAATAAAAGCTTCATTATGCATTCCTAATGATGTACTTTGTACTTTGAGGCTGAAAGTTTCAAATGCAGCGTCACTGTAAAGACAGCGTTTTAACAAAACTTTGCAATATGTGAAAAAGAAATATTTTCGAGGAGCGATAAATATTCATACGCTCCAAGTGTTTACTTCTGTTATCCATTTGTTTAATTATTTCCTTTCAGAAATTCAGGAAGTGTTTGCATGGGAATAAATCGATCCAGCATTTCAAACACTTGACAAGGCAAATGCACATGCTAATAGCAAAGTTATTTCCCGCCTGTCTTTAGACATAATAATGGTCGAGCTCTTATAGATTACATCCATCCTCTCTGAGAGGAATCTCATCTCCAGTGACGTGAATTTACTAATTGGCAGCATAGAGCTTTAAGCTGTCCAGCAAACACTCAAACTTCTAGAAACTTCCCCCTTAGTTAAGCTGACTTAGATTCACAAGAAAAAGTCTTCTTGGAAACAAACTATTGTCAAACTCTTTACAAGGACAGTCCGACAGCTGAGACGAGGGTGGGCTTCTCAGAAAAGCATTAAGAAGAAGCAGGGTGTTTGTTTGTTTTTGTTTCTGTTTGTTTTGTTTTGTGTGTTTTTTTTAACCAGCTGGCGCAAATCCAACCAAGCCATTTGTTGAAGGCACATTATTGAGACGTCATCCTTTTCCAGGGCAGGAACATGACCAGCATGTTTGATTGTCAGGAAACGTGAGGGGTGAAAGGCTGAGTACACGTAGTGTGTTGTTTTCTCATGTAACAACTACTAATGTGTGCACTCTTTTTTGTACTTTATGTAGTGATTCTTTTTTCACAAATATCTAAAAGCTAAATATGTTAAGTCTATATTTTTAATATTCTAATATTTAATATAATATCTTTTAAAGAGACATCCTGTGTTTGATAACTGTGCTTACTTCCATTCTTCCTGACAGTTGACACACTGTGTGCCACTCCCATTTACGAACACACATATCTAACACCATGCATCTAGCCCCTAATGCATGTAAACTGGCACCTTCATTATTCACCATTTATTTATTTTTCCATATAATGAATATGATCCTTGATGAGCTTGTAATGAATGCCCGGGCCTTGCTCTGGCTCAATGACTCATAAGCTGCAACTTGATCACTTATTAAGATGTGAATGCACAACATCTGAGCCTCGGGGGGAAATAGAAAATAGCAATTATTTATTCATTTACCTCTTTTTGGGAAGAAAGAAGCAACAGATTTTATAATTTTATAACTTCTGTGATATAGTGGATGTACGAGGACACATACTAAGCAACAGCGATAAAACCACACTGATCAAACCTTTTGTTTTGGTATTATTTCAGTCACATGCTGTTAGCAACTAACTTAGCTGTTAGTCGCCCTTCCTTTTGAAGCTACATCCAGTAAACTTCATCTCTGTTAGTGCTCAGTCATAACACATTACATCCACCCCCAGCAGAGGATAAGTTGAGTCTTAATCAGGCTTGAAAGCCTGCCAGCTAGAATTCAAGTACCAATTTAAATCAAATACAATGCCGTTTCTGATTACAGAGGTCCGGGGTGTTCAGAGGGTTTGTTGCTGATGGTTTGAGCCATGTTTGTTGCGGTTAGAATAAGAAAAAGACATAAAAAAAAAAAGAGCCGTGGCAAGAGTGGGAGTCTGATTTATAGTCCGCCAGGGTCAGCACTGATGGAGCTGTAGATTCAAAGGCCAATATAAATGTTCTTTCATTCCTGGTTCTACTTTTTACACTAACGCACACGCATGAACGCACACGCGCACAAACACACACACACACATAGACACAGGAGAGCAGGGAATGCTGTCCATTAGTGACCTACAAGTGGCCGGCCTTCTGCCAAACATAATGCTTCTGTTGTGGGGGTGAACTCCCTTTAGGGTAGTTGACTGAGAAATAATTCTCCTGCTCTTCACAGATCATTACTTCTTCATCCCTGCTCACATGGTTGGACTGCTTTTACTTAATATTTAGCATTTTGTTCTTGTGGCTTTTCAGTTTAAGGCAATCATGATAGTAACACATATATTTGGTCTGTGAGGTTAGACTCCAACCCCCTCGTGACCTGAAATATGATAAGTGGAAGAAAATAGATGGATGATTTGATGGCATCACAGCTGAAGACAGATCTGATCATCCTGATAATTGTGGTTTATTACAGTCTGGCTCATGTTTCTTACACCATCATCTCTATTCATCAACAGTCGAACATTAGTTTATCACGAGCTAGCTTTATAGCTTAAAAGTTATTTATTCCTTACTAGCCTAATTGGAGAGGATGTCTCCAAAAATACTCATTTTTAAAAGCGCTACAGAAAAATAAGGATATCTTTAAGTAACTGACATATGACACGCATCATTTCCTTTAGTGTTTACTGTGCTACTATACACCCAAGACACCATTCTAAAAGCCATTTTATTCTTTCAAATATAAGATAATTTATAGGAAAAGACAAGTTGTGTCTTTGTGTCCTCAGTGTCACAACCTTACTGTGACCTAAAATAAAGACGTTAGTAATTTTATTTCATTAAGATTTAAATTTCAAACCAAGTACTAAAGAAGCAGCAGATGATAATGATGATGGCGTCTCTCGGGCGGATGTGTAGCTTTACTGAGCATCTGCTCGAGCTCTGAAAGGCAATTTTGAGGTTGTTTTTAAAGTGGCATGATGCTTGAACTCAGAAAGTAAAGAGAGAAAAGTTGAAAAAAGAAAGCTGAGCCCCAAAGCGCCATCTGCATAGCAACCATAACCTCTCTACCAATCCTCTGAGTGTGGTGCAGCTGCTTTGGATTCTGATGTGTTTGATATGGCATCGTTGCAGACATTCAAAGCTGCTTCAACTGTTTTCGACAAAAGAACTGAAACAATAATTACAACATGCACTTGTGATCTTAAATTGCAGAGATAGGTAAAAGTATCTTCTGAATATCTTCTGAGCCTGGAAACATTTTGTCACTCAGAACAGAAAAGCAAACGGTGGATGTGAATAAATGCACAGACCGTCTCGTAACCTGAATAAATTCTGCAAAGGTCAGTTCAATGAATTGATCCAGTCCTAACTTTTCACATGCTTTAATCATGGTAAATGGCCTGTATTTGTATAGCGCTTTACTAGTCCCTAAGGACCCCAAAGCGCTTTACACATCCAGTCATCCACACATTCACACACACATTTACACACCACAGAGCTTTTAGAATTGCTGGGCCACCGTATGCCAATAATGATGCATAATTTAAACATATGGCAAAAGAGCCTTCAAATAACATTAGTAGTCACCCTCTGCATTACATACACGTAAAGCCACATAAAAAAGAAGAAGTGTATTATGCCACCAGGCAAAATAAGTCAGGATGGTTTCTTTTCCACGGTGTTGCACCAGTGAATCAAACTGTGAAATGGCTCAGGCTCAGCCTCTCTCCATGGAAACTGGGCTCAATATTGTCATGACAACCTTCAACAAAGGAGGAAAAAAATCATGGAAGTAACAAGGGGAAACAATAAAAAGGCCTAATCAAGGGTGACAGGACAAGCCCAGTTTCCATCTCTGACTGGTTTTCCTCTACTGAGCTCATCTTATTTCATGAATCACATCCTGATACATGTCACTCATCTTTCTCCAAGCCCCCCTCCAAAGCTGCATCACTAACGTAGTTATTCAGGTACGGAAAAACGATCAATTACTAGCAGGTGACTGCTTTGTGTGAATATAGTCATTAAAATGCAGCATTCAGCAAATGTTCCAGCTGGGCAATAGTTACCCCAGAGCAGAGAGACATAAAACATAAATTTACAGAGGGCTGTTAAAGTGCTATTTCCCCATGGAGTAAGTGAGATCATTTGTGTTGTATGTTGTAAGCATGTGGTTTTTTGCGCTGGTGCATTGACTCCAGTTGTAATATATGAACAGTACATTCTAATATGAAGCAAAAATTACTAGCTCTTACAGACAGTAACTAGAAACAAATAACATTCATGCATCAGTCACCCCATGCACCTCATTCGCCCACAATATAAAAAGCTTAACAGCATCTTAGAAATAAACTGAATTCTGGTGCTTCTTTAAATTGTGCAACTGGCAGCATGGATTTGCTTTGTTGCAAAAAGTGAAAAAAAAATCTAAAATGTTTAAACAAGCAAAAATGCATCTAGTTGGCACAGAACCAGCCAATCTCTTCTCTTTAATATTTAAAATGTGGAGTCCATTAATAACTCCCATTTTCTCTTGGAGGCAGTGGTTTTAATAAATATAATGTAAAAGCCAGCCTCAATCCCACATAAACAGGAAATCAGGAAAATTGGTTGACTGGAATCTGCTGTATTTACTAAAACACAGTTTACAGGAAAGTATCTTCTCTAAGTGTTTTTGAACCTATTTCAGTTTCTTTTGTCTCTTCTATGTAACATATTAGCTACTGTTACCACTTCCTTACTTACCTGCACTGTATCACTGGCTTATTTGGCATTTTAACAGTCACTCCAAATCTGAGCACTGGCCAAAAGTGATTTCACCATCAGAAGGCTTACTTCAAGTTACGTTTGCAGTATAAATGTAAACAGCTCAGAAATGTTATTTAGCTGAACTAAACTACTGGTTGGGTTTCCTGCCAGACTGGTTTGTCAGTCTGGTTATCTATTTTTTTCTGGTTGAGTGGTTGGTTGTTTTTATACTTGTTCTTCTTTAGTTATACTGTGCTTTTCTCTTCCTTTACTTGCTGAGTTGGCTGTGACTCAGGGAGTGGAGTAGGTTGTCTGCCAATCAGAACATTGGTTGTCCAACCCCCTATCCTCCAACCTGTACCTCAAAGTATCCTTGGGCAAGATTCCAAGTTGTCCCTCAATGCATCAATCCAAGTATGTGTGTGGGAAGAAACCACTTGCTCAAGTGAGCTCAAATTGAATAGAAAAGTATTATAAAAGTAGTAGTCTATTTACTAGAGCAGGGCGATGTGACCAAAAATATTTATCACGATATACATTTGAAAATTTGCGATAACGATATAACCGACGATATAATTGACACTAGACAAAATGCTTTACAACTCCACAACTTTATTGGTGTAAAAAAAAAAAATCATCAATGTATTTTCACTTAAACAAGCAGCTGTTTTTTTATGTGCATTAAAGTTATATAAAAATTTGACAGTGCAAATGCAAATTCCTTGCTGACAGTTTAACCAAAAGGCATTTCCAGTGGAAACTGGCCGACATATCCTCAGCATAACCATGTATAATATCCACAAAACTTAAAAAGAGGTTATACACACACAATAAGGTAATATTATGTTGAAGCACGGTACGTATCACTCCGCAAGGCTCCTGCCTACGATAGCCGTAATGCTCCGACAATCCATCAAGCGGTGCGGGTTTGTAGCTTAGCAAAGTCGTACTAAAACATTTGACAGATTTTCGAGTGCCGTGTACCACAGAAAATCGTTTCGAGGTCAGTAAACACAACCAGGATTCATACATAAGGCACACAGAATTATAAGGGGCACTGTCGATTTTCAGAAAAATCAAAGGATTTAACTTTACAAAGCACTACCAAAAATAGTGCTTTGTTGTGTATCTGATGGACGAAAGCTAAACCAGTTTCACACCACTGGAGTTGCAGCATTTCTACAAACCAGTTCTGGTTCATCTGTTTCATTCTACAATCCGCTTTCGCCATTCTCATTCTCTGTCGCCGGCACGCTTTTTCCGCCATGTGCGAAAACAAAGGCACTGCTCATGCGCGTTTTACCCATGTTCTATCGCGATATTTCATTTTCTTCTCGTTGCCCGACATTATACCAGTATTACCGTGAACGGTATGATATGGCCCAGCCCTACTATTTACCTTGCACTTTTAGAGTATCTTAGTCTCTCTCTTCTCACACATAGCAGGAACACACACATGAAGCACACTTGCAAGATAAGAAACATTCAACCACACTTTGCAGCTAAACACCACTATAAACAACTTTCTAACAAACAAGCAGACTCAAAAAAAAATTTCTTTGATTTCTCTTTCGATCTCGTTATCTCAGTCTCACCGTTTCATCTCTCATTTCTATGTCAGTTTTATTCAAAATAATTGATCGTTTTCGCAATAATTTTAACAAAATTCTCCAAACCACAGCAAATTGAAAATTGTTTATATGACTGCATGTTTCTAGTCACAAATGTTCCATGTTTTAAATAACTGGAACTCATTTCAGTCACATCCAGTAATTGTGCAAGTGCATGTAACTTCCACACTTTTTAATTTCTGTAAAACTGAGATTAGGAAACATAATAAGAGCATCATCTTCATTTTGTCATGCTTCTTATCTCAGTCTAACCAGTCTCTCTCAGTCCTCAGAGCTTTTAGTAAAAGACGGTGTGTACCTTTTTTATGAATACATGCCTTCTTGTTTTACACTTACCCATGACAACTTGCCATCCTCCCTCCCTTTGTTGCCATAGTGCTTTGCATTGTATTGCCAAGCATCAGAATGTTTCCCGTGTGCAACGACAGTAATGACGATCATGCTGGGCTGAGGTGGATGCATGTGTGTCTGTGAGGATGTGTGTGATAGAAAGAGTGGCGCTTCTTGCATGTGGCACACAGAGAGTTGGAGACGGAGGCAGCCGAGCAGTAATTAGCGTTGCCTGTCATACCAAATCTCCATGGAGACGTGTTCTGTAAGTCATCTACACCTTTGGTACATAATCGTGGAAGCTCAGGAGAGCAGGAAGCACAGCTGTGACTGCCGTTACACCACTCTGAACAAGCACAGCATCAACCTGTATAGTCTGGTGTTCGCTCTATAAATAGCTATACAGTAGAGGTGCTGTGATGACACAAACTTTGCAACGTGCAGTGGGAAGAATATGTGGATGCAATGCAAGCTGTGAATGAAAATAACAACGCACAACGCTCAGTTTATCTTCAATATCTGTGAAGAAATTGATTTTATTTGATTTTCTGCATATAAATGCATGCCTACATGGTTAAACATCACACCCACACACTCAAACAGGCACGCATACATACACACATGACATCTTACCGGGTTAAAAACCATCACGGTCACCTACACAGTGCATACTGGGGAAATGTTAAACCAGCCTACTGTGCTTGACCGTCATATTTGAATACACGGAACAGAGAAAACAGGAAATGAGGCTTAAAAGGTGAATTATTCAAATAAGCTTTCATTGGTCAACAGCAATTTTAACGTTGCATCCACATGAACAGACAAGAAAAGAGCTTAATGACCTAGAGTATTGCACTGTGCTACATACATACAGCTGTGCTTATATATTACAAACATCTGCATCAGCATAGAAAGATTCTAATGAAGGTAAAATGAGCTTTCCCTTTGTTTATTTAACATAAGGCCACTATGGTAGACCATGAGGACTAGATTATAAGTCTTGAAAAAAGAAAAAGACTCCTGCTTCTCTTTTCCAAATATGTAACAGAGTTTTTACAATACAAGTAGAAGTGTTAACTTACCAATTGAATTACACTACTGCACACATTTAAACTCCATTACTCAACATGAGGCACAAGTGGAGATGATTATATTGTACTGTATGTATCTTTACCAACATGTACTGAAAGTCTTTTACCATCTAATCTAATTGAGTCTACATTTGGTCCTCACTCAACCAGTAATGATACATCAATTGTGTATAGCTAATGTAACAGACAGACAATACTGCTCCATTGATTTTCTTTTCTTTTGTTAAACTCTTATTGTACAAGGATTTACAAACAATGTGTTTCCTGGCAGGGTTCGTATCACATCTAGTCCCTGGCAAAGTATCTGCATGTTTCCATGTGCTTGGTTCTAAAAAAGCAGCAGAACAGAGACCACATAATAAAATAAAATAAAAAACGTGGGTCTAATTTGTTGACATCGATCAGTGACTTCAAGTTTCCATCTTGTCCTTTTTCACAGTAGGCGTTTTGCTGTACAAACCTATATTCACAAGCAGATTTTCTCACTCCTTATACAATGTAGGGGTTTTGCTGATGTGTGTTGACTCCCAAAATAGACACATGATAATAGAAAGTAACATGGTAACGAATGTAACAACACATAAAAAAGGATTTTTACAACAGACTCACAAAAGCCCCTGAAACTTTCTTTAAGTTTTAGGTCTGTAAAATTTAATATTCACAATTACATTTTTTTTAATCCAAGTTGACTAAGAGTGTCTTTTTTTGAAAACCCAGATTATCGAGTGTGTGGCTTCAATTTGAATTATAGTGACCGAACGCCAGATTCAGATTCAACTGGTGCACAGAGGAATGTGATATCACACTTTCTCGACTTCAAATCAGGCAGAGAAGTGACCTTAACGTCACTTTGGAATAAATCTGTGATGCTTTTTTCAGAGCCTTGGAGTCAAGCTATGACATATCCACTAAATAAAATGCATATGAATGGTAGCCATTTTTTGGAGTATCATACAATGCTTGAGCATGCAGTACATGCAAAATGCTCTCTAACATGTGAGTAAGTGTACATGTGATAAATGTGCTATGCAACTTAAAACAAAAGTTCTCATCCTGAATTCAAAGAATCTCTTCAGCAGTTCATTCAGGAAGGGAAGTGTACGCCACTGAGGAAATCACGCTCTTTCTCCTTTTCATAGCCAATCAGCATCAGGTCAGAGTGGTGACCTCCGGCTGAGCATAGTTTCCCGTGGCCGCAAGGATGTCTTTACAGCTCTCTGTCAGGAAACACAAAGGACAGAATGACAATGAAATATAGTGACTTAGCATAAAAAACACTGAAACTGACCCAAGCGAGTGTGCTATAACCTAAGAACAACGGGGTCACCACCCTTCCCTCCATTATTAATTAATCCTAGGAAAGAAGAAGCCCTAAATGTTGATACATATAATAATAATAAAACTAAACGTATTTCTTGACTATTAAAATCTTTATTTTCAACAACCAACAAATCAGTTAATATTTTAACTCTATTTCACAGACAAAAACAACACTTTTATTTGAACTTCACATGGGAGCCAGATGTTTCACTGTGACCATCTGTGTTGTTAATGGAAACCTATTAGTGGGAATCATATCTGAGGAATCACTTGGGAATATGGCGGCTCGCTTGAGCTTGGAAAACCTTCCTCTTCTCATCTGTATAGCTTCCTGCCACTTCCTCTTGCAGCACTTGAACTGTTTGCTATACTATTATGCACACAAACGGGTGGTTATCTCATCACAAATACACAAATACAATGTGCTTTTGAATCCCTGTGATGACCTTAGTCACTGCAAAAGCACTGTCTTTTTGTCCTGTTCCTGATAACCATCCAGGCATCTTCAAGCCTGCATCCATCTATCTATTCCTCTAATTACAGCCACACTGCCCTAGTGAAATATTAGATGTACCTTTATATCCTGTAACCCTGTAACTCACCAAAACCATCTCCCTTTGCCACATAGCTCTAAAAAGCGACTTTCAAATGTTGGCTAACAACTGAGTTTTTTTTCTTTTTAATTCTGCACTGAGCACTAAACACTGAGCACTTCTTGCAGATAATGTGCACTAAAATGTGTTGTGTACGTGTGATATAATCCACTGTAACAGACTGGGATATCATTATGTACATACTCACCAGATACCAGGCTAAGAATTGAATTTCCCCCCCTCCTCTCTCTCACACACAGATTTGTATTAAGGTGTTCTGGCTTTTCTCAGCTTCCTATTGTTTTTGTCTCTGTGACCAGAATAGCGCTTATATGGTGATCTCATGAGCTGACCAGACAATTTTCCATTATTAGAAAGCTCAGTATGAAACCAAGGTCGGACAGTTTCACCCCATTTGTGTCATTTTCATTGTGTTTGTGAGGCTGTACATTTATATAGTGACAGATTACTTTGTCCCCTGAGTAAACCTGTCCACAAACATCACTTCTTCTCATTTAGGACAGATTTAATTGTGCATGCTTTTTTTATTATATTTTATTTTGTTCATATGACAACATGCCATTATAACTAGCACCAATTTACATCAACATCTTCAGGCAATGACAAGTTATTCAGGAACATTTCTGTATAATGAGCTGTTAAAAAAATACATGGGTGTACTCTCCTAGGAGAAAAGCTACCATAAGTGCCCCAGTTATGATAAACCCTGGTAGTGAAATAAACCTCAGCAAAGTGCAGGGTTTCAGCAAAACACCTTCAGCAATGTTGGACTGTTTGCACACAATTGTCAGGATGTTGACTGGATAGTGCTCAGGGTGTCAGGAATCAATCCACGGCTGCCAAATATAGAGCCTCTTCTCACAAGAGGCTTTTGGGTAGTTTGGAAAGCTCAGACATGAGATGCAGCGGTCATTCAAGCAGACAGAGATGGCAGGGTCACAGCAGAATTACAGCAACTTTGTCTCACCCTCACCCCCCATCTTCTGTTTAAGAATAATAGCGTTGCATACAAACGTGTAGCTTACACGGTTATGTGTGCTGATGTGATCTAGAAGTCAATAAATAAATAAATAAACAATTCAAGTCATGATTTTCATCTTGTGTCTTTAACTGTATCATTTTTTCCTCACATGCTAGGCTTGGTACCCTGCGAACACTTGTGCACTAATCCTAACCTGAGTACTAACTGTGCACACAGAGAGACTGATGATGCAATTAGGGCTCAATTGATTTTCTATTGATCTGAGTGGTAAATAATGGTTGAAACAGGATTTACTCCCTTAGAGGTGAAAGACAGGTGTTTGAATTCAATTCAATTTTATTTATATAGCGCCAAATCACAGCAAAAGTCGCCTCAAGGTGCTTCATAGATACAGAGAAAAACCCAACAATCATATGACCCCCTATGAGCAAGCACTTTGGCGACAGTGGGAAGGAAAAACTCTCTTTTAACAGGAAGAAACCTCCGGCAGAACCAGGCTCAGGGAGGGGCGGGGCCATCTGCTGCGACCCGGTTTGAAGGGTCCTGCGAAACATTCGTTGTGCTGTTCATCTCTCTGTTCTTTTTGTTAGATCAACTATAAGCACAATTTATGATGATTATTGAAACTTTGCTACAAGTAACTACTAATGTTTTACATTTCTTAAACATTTGTGTTTTTGTGTGTCATTTTTTATAGGTATTCATATCTTGCCACACAATACACACTCCATGTACTGTAGGTATGAAGTTTAGAATAGCTTGTAAGCACCACTGAAAGCATCTTAGCACTCTGCATACTCAGAATCAGAAAAAAGACAAAACACTGTGTTCCTTTTAGCCTTGCTAGCAGCAGGAAACTGTGATGGCATTATCTGTCAATCACTCTGTCAATCAAACTCACACTTCAGGTAAGACAAAAACATTCATCCCACAACTATACAACATCTTTCCCAAAAAATTGGTAAAGATATTCATGTTCCCCTCAGGGCTAAATATTTTATAAAAGAAAAAAGAAAACATTGCTCCTCTTCTCATTTTTTTTCTCCTCAATCTGTGAATTATTCTTGTAGTATAAAACAAAAACATTAAATTCCCTTTAACTTTGTATTCTTCATGTATGTCATGGAACCTGGGCTGTTGCCTGAGCTTTGAATTTTTGTTTTGTACAGTCTTTGTTTAGCACATGTTTCCTACATGATTTCTTCAAGATTAGTTGTTCAATCCAGTCTTTCGGTTTCTTACTATTATTTTCGCTTTATTTTGCAATCTAGTTTCTGTTTGTCGGCATGGTTATAGTTTAACTTTAATTCCTGCCCCGTGTCCCCTCATATCTTGGTGCTAAGCCTCTCTACAGTATGTCAAGCGTTTCCCATTTGTTACTTATTTTGGTAGCTGTTGTGTTCTTGTCGTTGTGTTCTTGTTGTTGTGTCGTGTTCCTGCTTGACTTCCATTGTCTCATTATCTTTAAATAGCTTCAGCTGTGTTTAGTTCCCCACCTGTTTCCCCTTCCCTCATTGCCTCTTGCATATTTAAACTCTTTGATCTTTAGTAATTATACTTACAATCATAGCTAATTTATAATATAAGGTGTAATTTTAACATATAAGGTCATAATTTTACATATTAGCATAAAACCAGGAGTTACATATGGATGCAAAAAAGTGGTATTGTTAAAATTTTAGCATGACGATGTTGAAAATAGTCAATTGTCTCCATATTTTAGAATAAACTGTGTAGAAAAATATACATGCATGTACTCCATAAGTGAAGTTAAGGCTAAAGCCAGCAAGGGGTAATGCTAGTCATTGCAAAGGAAAGTGGAATTGTTTGTGAAAATGATCCTACTTTTCTTTTGATTTTTTTTACCCCAGTTAACATTTTTCCAACAACTTTACTTTGTCAGTTGATGCTTTAACATATCTTGAATATAGCAACAGTGGTCCAATTTAGAGTAAAACAGACACTAAAGCGGGCTATGCTACCATAGAACTGGAAGTTATTTCTGTGTGAGTATGCAGTATCCCTCAGCTTGTCAGTCATATCCAACCCGCACTTATTTTTTCAAATCAACAAGGTAGTGACAGCCAAAATGCTAAACTTGGAGATTCATATCTGGCTCAAATGCAGCATGTACGTACTCACCAGTTTGAACGCTGGGGTTCTCTGAGGTTAGGAGGAAGCAGGTGCCCTCTTTCTTATTCTTGTCTCGGCCTCGGGAACACCGCAATGTCCACTTTTCGCTGGGGGACAGCGGCTGGGTCAAACTACAGCCTTCCTCATCTGAAAGGGCCACATTTGCATCCCCGTTCTGTTTGGAGTCTGGACAGGAAGACAAAAATACATGCCAACATAAATGTCAAAGTTGATACAGACCCGAGGGCCCACACAAAGGCAGACAGAGGTATATTGCACAAAACTGGTATTTTTCTGTGATGAAATCCAGTTTGACTGAGATGCTAGGAGAGCTAATTTAATCCCGGTACATTGCTGTCATTGTGACTAAGTGCAGTTCATCTGTCAAGCAAACTCTACAAAACCTACAAAGTACAAGACTTGAAACACGATGGCTCTTTGTAATACTACTACTGTGCAACATTGATACAGTGCAACTTAAGATTAAAAGGTCAGTTTTCATGGTTCACACATGTTGCACAGGTTTGTCCTCCAACCTACTGCAAGTGAATGGATGGGTTTTTTTGGTGCTGCCAAGAACAATTTCAAGTAATAAAATAATCTCCATAGACTGAAACACTTTTTTTGCCCCCACTACTCTTAGTGAGGGAACAAAGAGAACATTTGGCAGGAAGCATCTCCAGTGAAACCATGTTACTGCTTAAGGTTAAATAGTGTGTGCTTCAAAAACAAAACTGCCCCAGAAAACCTGAGCACGTGAAACACCCTCACCTGCATGGTAGCCACAACAAATGGTTAGTGAGAAAACATGCCTCTGACATTTTAGAGAGTTTAAAAATTGTACTGTAGCCTCACCTGAGCGGTTCCTACTGATGTTCTCCTCAGGAGCCAGTGGACACGTGTCACTCTGAGTACTGTCTCTGTGCGAGTTTGTTTCTGACTTCCCAAACGAGGCTGAGTCAGTTGGAGCATCAGGGTTTGGGTTGTGCTTCTTCTTCTTTTTTGGCAGCTTCTGTTTTGCCATAGCCAGCGAGTAGTACATCCCAAAGTTATTGACGATGACGGGAACCGGCATAGCAATGGTCAGTACCCCAGCCAGTGCACAAAGCGCCCCTACCATCATGCCGAGCCACGTCTGTGGATACATGTCTCCATAGCCCAGTGTGGTCATAGTGACCACTGCCCACCAAAAGCTGATGGGGATATTCTTGAAGTGTGTGTGATTGCAGCCTGTGGGGTCATTAGGCTGGATTCCAATACGCTCAGCATAGTAAATCATGGTGGCAAAGATTAGCACACCTAGCGCCAAGAAGATAATAAGCAAGAGGAATTCATTGACACTAGCCCTCAACGTGTGACCCAGGACACGCAGGCCTACAAAGTGGCGCGTCAGCTTGAAAATCCGGAGGATTCGAACAAACCGGACCACACGGAGGAAGTTTAGCACATCATTGGCAGCTTTGGATGACAGACTTTTCAGAGCCAACTCCAGGTAGAATGGTAGAATGGCCACAAAGTCAATGATGTTGAGCGTGTTTCTGATGAAGACTACTTTGTCTGGGCAGGATATTATGCGCACCAGAAATTCAAACGTGAACCAGACTACACAGATGCCCTCCACGGTGAAGAGGACTGGGTTGGTCACTATTTCGTTCCTTGTGATGTTCTTTGTCACGTTGCCCTGTACAACATGCTCCGTCCAGTTTTGCACTTCATAGAAGGCATCGTGGGTCTCCAGGCAGAATGTGGTGATCGACACCAGGATGAAGAAGAGAGAGGCAAGTGCAACTCCCTGGAGGAGAAAGATAATGACTGTTAATCAATACAATGTTATGTCAACCCACAATTAGTGAACAGCCAGTATAGGGTTTCTAAAGCTCAAACCACCATCTGCATGATGCGCCCATGCTAGAAACGAGTTTTCAATTAACACGATATATAATAAGACCTCTTTTATCTTCAAACTTCAAAGTTTAAAAAAAAAGGATGTGCCAATCAACTCTCGTGTGTTGAAGGATTTTATTACTGGGGGAGGTAATGTGCGTCAGTTGACTGACAATAAGCAAACACTGTATTTATGTATCACTGGAAAACTTAACTCAGGCACAACAACTTAATGATTTAAGTTTGTTGTGACTGATCATTGCCTGTGAAGCGAGTTTCACATAGGAGGATAAAAATGAGCCCTCAGTATCCCCAACTATACTGACCGAATGCAAAAAAGCAGGAAAAAAAATAACAATATGACACATACAAACAACCAAATTATATCTGGAATCATTTCCAGAGGAACATTTGTCCAGTAGCTTGACTAATGCAGCAGCAAGATAGCTGTGAATTAATAAAGTTAACATTTATACTCAAACAATTTCCCAGGTTTAACAAACGCAAGTTTTTTAACATGTCTCCATGTAAAATTTTGCCAAGTAAACTAAACCCGAATCCAAAACATTCACAATCATCCACTAATCATCTGTGTAACTGAGATGAAAGCAAAGGTCCTAATGAGTTCTCGTATGGCTTGCTGGCATGCGCTTTCATAATTACTTACAAAGTGAATGTATTTTTTGAACCAAATGCAAGAACATGTTATGAATAGTTAAGCTCAAAAAATAAAAGCTCACAGTTAGTCATCCAGTCCAAGTGAAACCCTCCCTCAGAAACATCAGACTCATTATTCTACCACTTTGCCTCCTCAGGGTATGCTATTTACCTGTCAGGAAATAATGGTTCAGATTGTCTTCTACAGCTCTACTTAGTAGGTGGCATTTTCTTCATGCTTATTTGAAAATGCTCTTTGTCTGTGGGAGAGCGAGGACAATGTTCTCAGAGAAAACAGACCAATTTAACACCAATTACTTTCATGAACGTATAGACTGAACCATGCTGACAGAAGACGTGATTCTAATAACGCTGGCTGAGACGGGCACAAACAGCAGGGGGCGCTAATACAGTAACAACACCACTACCTGCAAAAATAATATGAACACAGTCTTTAACATATCATTTTATTTATTTATTTTTTACAACACAAATCACTCTATGACTCACAAAGGAAACAGAAAGGGAAAAACAAGCAGAGTGTCCTGATGCAAAACTGAGAGGAGAGAATGCTGAACGCCTTACAGCCTCCACACGTGTTTTAGAGCATGTGTTCTGCATGCAAGCCTTCCCTTATATGAAAAATAGGGTCAAATAGCTTTTATGGTTGCTGACAGGCAAAATGAACAATGTGGCTCCACAGCATTCACCTGGTCCAGCACAATGGCTGTGCGCGTCTATGTTTGTGTTAACGCGGTGTGCTTACTCATACATGATATGTCTTTATTGTTTACTGATACCTGGGCAAATTGTAGTGCCTCTCCAGCCTTTCTAACCTTCCAGCTGGATAAATATGTAACTGGAACTTGCATGCACTTTGCCATTTTTTCTCCCTTGAGGGAATCTCACATATGAGTCAGCTAAATCTCATGTGGAAAAGAACAAATACTGCACTGAAAGGCTCAATGGGGACATTAATTCACAGTGGAATTAGAATAAAACAATAAGAAGTGGACATCTGATGGAGTTGGAGTAAACTTGATACTGCACACTTAAAAAAACAAACCCTAAATAGATAAATCAACACGCATAACACATATTGTGGAGCTTGTAACCACTAAAACCTTTATATTTGTCCCTGTAGAACACTGAGGTGCTCACTGCTTTGATCCCCTGAGAAGATGACGACTGAGGCACAGGACTATTGGGAAGGAGGTAAAAGCAAAACTGTGCCCCAGGAGGATCTCCTGCTCTGCAGGCACGTTTTCCCCAAACATCATCAGCACTAACAGTGCTCATTATGTGAGAGTCACAGATCGCAAGAGACAAAAATGATGTTTAACAATTATTTTCTTTTAGTGACTGAAACTAAGGGGTGTAACCATGTCAACACAGACTCTAATAATAAGAGCTTTTAATTTCTAGAGGACATTAATTGAGCGCTAATTTATCTCCATTCATTGTATCTAGCTCACAGACATGCATACTCATATAAAATATATTTTCAATGTGTCGTCTCTTCAGTGCTTTCCTATTAGAAAGCCTTTGCAGACAAGGGCCAGATATGCAGCCAGCACCAAATAATTAAGCTTCTCTGAAGACCCGGCCACTTTTACAGCACCTCATTTTCCAGGCTCAATTAATAAAACATGGTGCCAGCATTTCATCAACCCCCTCTGGACTTCCCATTGTCCCAGTCCCTCTTCACGTGCTGTATGAGGGTCTCAAATGCTAACCCTGAAAGGTGGAGCTCCGTGTAAACACCAGACGAAACCTGTTATAGGACAACAGCACAAGAACTGATTATAGATATATATGTGTCAAGATAAAAAGGCCTAATAATTTTTTATACCAACACCATAATTATATGATAAAGCTAAAAAAATACCCCAATATCTATACATTTGCCGGAGCTAAAAGTAGCTTTTCAGATGCTGCTAGTTTGTTTGAATGTCTCATAAAAGGCTCTCACTAGTCATCTCTTTCCATCTGTCAGCAGTGAATTATATCAAGAGGATGTTGGAGTGGTGGTGTTTGTGGTAGCTCAACCAAATTTACCCCCTGGCTTCCCGCCTGAATACAAAGTTAGCTTTGCATAATGGAAAGGCAACAGAGCTGACTCCAGTTTCTTTAGTGGGGGGTAGAAAACTTGCACAAGATGTATGCTTTGTAATTACACATTTACACAAGCTGCTGTACAATAACTCTACCTAAATACAGCAGAATACCAAACTGAATAATATCCAATCGCTCTAGATTTAAGTAAACGAGAGTAACAGGGCTTCCAAACCATAAGCCCAAGTTGGACATTATTATGTTAACTACTTGTTTTAGGCGTGGCAGCAGAGCTGCACACATTAGCCACATATTCATCTAATGACCTGTCAAGTCTGCTTATGCTCTGTAAACCCATTCAGTCCAGTCTGGTTCCAATCCACTCTTTCTTCACCCCCATCCAGTTACCTTATCTCATTGCTCTCTATTCCCATCCATTCATCTTTTCTTCCCTCCTCTCATCTCCTCTTATTCAATCATGGGCATCCCTCTCTTCTCTTTCTTTTTCCAGGTACTATCTGGGGGCCGTAATCAGCTCAGGTGACACAACACCTGCCCCCATATTGAGCCTCCTCCTGCCATTAACTCCAACAACTTCCTCCTCCTACGTTAATTCCCTTCCCTTCATCCATCCATCCATCCTCAACATTCAATACTTTGTCATTTCACAAAAACCTTTAATCACACATTGTTAGTATAATTGAGTGAGGAGTAGAAGACCATTATTTGTAATGAGGAAAGAGGCTGCACTCTCCCAAGCAGCTGTGGAAGTCATAATGGAACAAACTACGCAGAATTTCCACCAGGTTGTACAGCAAATGTCTAACTGACTAGAGACAGGCGTTGTGACAGCGAAAATTTAAAGATCCTTTCGAGATCTGTTGGAAGGACCTGCTTTGAATAATAGCTGCTGTCTGATGGTTTCATAAAAGTTCAATTACCTGGTCATAAATTCTTAAAACTACATCTACGTCTCTTCCCTCACTGAAAGACCCAGAATATATAATGTGCAAAGCTCTTCTCAAAATAAGAAGCAGACAGACTTAACTACATATTCATTACTTCCATGCTAATTAATCTTTTGTGATATCTATCTATAGATATATATAGATTCTAGATGCTATTCTTTATTTAATCTGAGGGTAGGAAACACACATCACACATCAGCTACTGTATCAGGTCATTCCTGAGTTCTGAAATTTGTTCCTTTATGCACATTTTCATGCCGCACAGTGTTACCAAAGACATCTTCTACCCAGCAGTAGAATTTAAAATCTGTACGTGTCAAACTGCAGGTACAAACTAATCACCACAGTGAAACTCCATCATTAACACCAATCATCACGCTTTTAAGTGTGGAGGTAGTTTCATTTTGTGTGACTCTAAATTCACATTAAAACACAGAAATATTCAGATGACACAGAAGCGTTAATACATCTTGTTGTTCCTGAACCTGTTGAAGAGGGGAAAAATTCTTCCTCCTTACTTATCATCACTTGCAACAGTGTTTTAAAATAAAATAATGTTTCATCATTAGTCAGATCCAAATGTTGGCTGCACACATCTACTGATAATCTATTTTTTCCAAGTACCATTAATTATTCTGGTGAGTATAAATAAAGCTCGCTCTGGAACGGTTCGCAGCCGAGTGTGAAGCAGCGGGAATGAGGATCAGCACCTCCAAATCTGAGGCCATGGTTCTCAGCCGGAAAAGGGTGGAGTGCCCACTCCGGGTCGGGGACGAGCTCCTGCCCCAAGTGGAGGAGTTCAAGTATCTCGGGGTCTTGTTCGCGAGTGATGGGAGAAGGGAGCCGGAGATCGACAGACGGATTGGTGCGGAGGCTGCAGTGATGCGGACGCTGCACCGGTCCGTCGTGGTGGAGAGGGAGCTGAGTGTAAAAGCGAAGCTCTCAATTTACTGGTCGATCTACGTCCCTACCCTCACCCGTGGCCACGAGCTGTGGGTAGTGACCGAAAGAACGAGATCGCGGATACAAGCGGCAGAAATGAGCTTCCTCCAAAGGGTGGCTGGCCATCCGGGAGGGGCTCAGAGTAGAGCTGCTGCTCCTCCATATCGAAAGGAGCCAGCTGAGGTGGTTCGGGCATCTGACAAGGATGCGCCTCCTGGGCGCCTCCTGGGGTTGGTGTTCCGGGCATGTCCCACCGGGAGGAGGCCCCGGGGCAGACCCAGGACAC